TAAAAAGAAAAATTGAATATAAAAAACTCATTGTCTAACCAATGTGTAATTTGGCTCGATGAATATAGCATTGTTATATATAGAAACATGAAAAGCTCGTAGTCCGGCCAACATGTAACTTGGTTAGATTGATATGACGTTGCCATTAGAAAGAAAAAATTAAGGATTTAATGCTCATGGCCTTTCCAGCATATGGCTTAACCAAATAAACATGACGTTCCTATTAAAAAAGAAACAAAACCAAACATGAAAAGTTCATAATCTAACGAACATGCAACTTGGCCATATAGACATGATGTTGCCATTAAAAAGCAAAAAATAAAAAGGACTAAACATGAAAAGTTCACGAGCATAACCAACACATATTTTGATCAAATGAACATGGCATTTAAAGTAAAATAAAAAAATGATCAACACATGGCTTAGCTTGCAAACGGCTTGGCCAAATGGATTTGGCATATCCATCGAAAGAATAACCGAGCATGAAAATTTTACGGATTGACCGAGTATATAGCTTAGTTAGATTGAACATAGCAATGATGACATTAAATTTTTTTTTCTTATACTAAGAATAATTTCTATGCTAATGGTCCGGCCAACACGTAGCTTAGTTAGATTAAACATAGCAAGCAATTAAAAAGAAAAATTGAATATAAAAAACTCATTGTCTAACCAATGTGTAATTTGGCCTCGTTGAATAGAGCATTGTTATATATAGAAACATGAAAAGCTCGAGTCCGGCCAACATGTAACTTGGTTAGATTGATATGACGTTGCCATTAGAAAGAAAAAATTAAGGATTTAATGCTCATGGCCTTTCCAAGCATATGGCTTAACCAAATAAACATGACGTTCCTATTAAAAAAGAAACAAAACCAAACATGAAAAGTTCATAATCTAACGAACATGCAACTTGGCCATATAGACATGATGTTGCCATTAAAAAGCAAAAAATAAAAAGGACTAAACATGAAAAGTTCACGAGCATAACCAACACATATTTTGATCAAATGAACATGGCATTTAAAGTAAAATAAAAAAATGATCAACACATGGCTTAGCTTGCAAACGGCTTGGCCAAATGGATTTGGCATATCTATCAAAAATAATAATTGAGCATGAAAATTTTACAGATTGATCAGCACATAACTTGATCGGATGGACATAATGTTGCCATAAAAAAATTAAACATGAAAAAACTCGTAGTCCGATCGGTATCGCAGTTTGACTAGATGAACATGATGTATCTATAAAAAAAAAAAAATTCACAACTTGAAAGAAAAACTAAGCATAAGGAGCACACACCTTGGGCATCACATAGTGTGGCCAAATAGACATGGCATGGCCATCAATAAGAATAATTGAGTATAAAAAAAACTTACAGTTTACCTAGCATACAACTAAACGAGATGAATATAGTATTGCTTAAAAAAAAAAACAATTGATTATGAAAAGCTCGAGACTTAGCCAATGTATAGTTTAACTAGATAGACACGACGTAACCATCATAAAGCATGAATGAGTATTTAAAACTCACAAATCCACCAAGCATGGGTAGCTTGCAGCTTGGTTATCGCATAACTTATTCAAATAGACATGGCATGACCATTACAAAGAATAACAGAGTATGAAAAGCTCACAATTTAACCAGCCTACAACTTGACTAAATAAATATGATGTTGCCATCTAAAAAACAATAGCAGACACATGAAAAATTGACAGCCTAACTAGCATATAGTTTGATAAGACAGACTTAGAGTAACTATCAGAAAACATGAATCAATGATCGAGCATGTAAAACTCTTTTTTTTTTAAACGACAGTCATGTATCTCAGCAATTTTCGAAAGTATGTCACTCGTATGCATTTTCGTTTTACACGCCATAAGGTCCTTTCGATTATTTTGACTTCTGTTTTTTTTTCGGTGGTTGACGCTATATATTAAATAATTAAGTTTGTTTGGGAAACTTATTGGATTAGAAGGGTCATTAGTTCTTCACGTACTAAGACCCAATTATTTGAGTAAAATCAAAATATTATGCATTGAAAAGCTTGTTAATTTTTCTCTCATAGTTTACTATGCATGACCATATTGATGTGGAGGTGAAGGGAGAGAGTCTGTTTACCTTTTTTTTTTTCCAAAGTATTTTGAAATAGGTTTTACAATGATATATAACGTGTAGTGTTTCAAAAAATAAAAGATAATTATACATCCTGCACGCAACTTGCAGGCATTCGACTATAGTTTAGAAAATTAGACACTCCCTTCATGTCCCATTCAAATAATACTGAAGGGAAAAAAAAACACGTCTTCACATAACTCAAACTTGAAGGAATTCTTAATTGTAGGGATACAGATTAAGTAAAAAAAAAAACACAAACAAACAAACTTTCCAATCATATTTATCGTCACTATTGTCACTAAAAACCTCTTTTACGAGGCGTTTGACTATGATGTTTGAAAAATAATTATAAAAGACAGTGTTGATGGTTGAAATAACTAAGTAAAATTATGAGTGAATTTACTATTTATAAAATATTTTACGAAACATTTATGAGTTGAAAATATTTTTTAATAAATAAACTGAATTTAAAAATCAATTATAATTATATATAAAAGAGAGTGTTGATGGCTGAAATAACTGGATAAAATTATGATTGGATTATTATTGATAAAATATTTTACGAAACATTCACGGGTTGAAAATATTTTTCGATAAATAAACCAGATTTAAAAATTGATTATAAAATATTTTTTACATTAACCAATTTTTTTATAAATTTGTTTTACGAAATACAAACACATCATGTATCCTAGGCCATGTATATAACGTAATGTTTTTTACGTTGATCAATTCAGATTAAATGTCTGAATTTTTATCGATATTAAGAAATTAATTTTAAAATGGTCTTGTGGTATATTGATCAATTTAATTTTATAATTTATCACTTCCTCTGCAAATAATACCATTATTAGAATTAGAAGTAGGTACAATCAATGTTCAGTAAATTAGATAAAGTGTCCATATATATATATATATATATAAAGACCTATCGACAGCATAATAAATCTTGTTGAGAAAAACCTTTGCTTCAAAAGTTGAATTTAAATACTTTATTTAATTCAGTAGTTAGATGTTTGAGCATTCAAAACATAAATCTGAGATCGTAATTCGCTGTCTCCAGGAGACAGAACGTAAGCAATTATAAATGCGCTGGTCTTCCGAATTTGGTACCTAATTTTTTTTCCTCTATCTGGACCATTATCCATAGCATCAGAATGTGATTCTTAGAGCATCTCCAATTGTGATTTTTATTTTTAGTTAGTATTTTTAATATAAATAGAGAATATCATTAATTATATAGATTGAAAAATAATATTCTATCTAATGCTACTCTCAACTTTAACTCTTTATTTTGATAAAATACATAAAACCTAGAGAGACTATTGATGAAAATGATTGAATAGCATAGGAAATAATAATTTTCATTAATAAAATATAAGATAAAGAATCATTTGGACTCTTTAAGTATTGGAGAGTTAAAGACACTCTGTATCTCAATTTTAAAGATAAAGATTGTGATAAAGAAAGCATTCGAGATGGAATTTAGGTCAAACCTCTTTATTATAAAGAAAAATCTTAATATAAAGAAAACATTGGAGATGCTCTTAACAAGTTTAAGCTTATTTTTTGGTAAATATTTTATTGATTTTATTTATATTAAACTTGCATTTATTAAATATCTATCTCTAATCCAAAAAATATTTTATCAAAAGATGTGGTCTAGTGGTAAAATAATCGTCTTGATTTGAACAAAACCAAGATTCAAATCTAACTACTCATGAATAACTGATCATAATCATTCATTAGTAGTATAAGACTTGAGTTTATTTGATTTAAAAAAAAACTCAATGATCGATAAAAACTAAACATGTTCGATGCTAGTTTAGCTTAAGAAGTGACGGACTTAGTCTCAATTGATGCAAAAGTTAATCCGAAATTATATATATATAAAACCCAAAAAAAATTATTTTCAGTGAAGTATTTCTATTAAGAGTAATGGAGTCCTCTATATATTATGCTTTTTTTCCCCCCATAATCAACTTTCATGTTTCAAAAGTTAGTTTAAATGAAAAAAGAAGACTCCATCATAAAATCAATTTTTTCTTCTTTTAGATACATGATATATTTACGTAAGAAATGTCTTAAGTTCTAATCCACCATAAGTGGGATTAGAATCTTTTCACATGTACGTGAAATCACGAATGACAAAAAAAACATCTTCCATGTTCACCCAAACTCAATGTGTGGTCATCACAGAAAACCAAACAGAACCTAAGAATTTATAATATTTATGGTTCAGGTGCCATTGCCATTAATTAAGGTTTACCTACACTTTCACGAGTCATGATCAGTAGCTAGTGGATTGAGAATTTTCTTTTAGAAGAGCTGACATAGAAGAAGATCCTTTCCATGATGCCTACGTTTCTATGCTAAAAAATATCATAAGCTCGTCCAGAAAATTTGCAGGCCAAAAGGAATCCAGGAGGCCATGCAAAACAAATATACATTAAAAAAACAACTCTAGCTTGATCCAATTTAGAATCTCGTTCCCAACCTACTGTATTTATATATATTAGAGAAAAAAAAATAGTACCCAATTTATTCATAGGTTAACATATAGATACACATCTTTAAAAAAAAAAAAAAAAAGCTAAAAAATCTAAGAAATTACATTGAAAGGGTCTTCAAAGCAAGTTCAACAAAAAAGAAAAATAAAAAAATAGACCAAGAGGTGTTAATAAAAAAAAAAAAAAAGTTCAAAAAAAAGAAAAACTACAATTACACACTTAGGCTGGGTTTTAACTTTTTAACCTCTCAAAGTCTGAAGTCTCACTCACACCCTCATCAACTCACAACCATTTCACTCCACTAAATTTTCACAAGGGTTCCTGAGTTTTCAATGACTCGGTAACTCGAACTCGGATGAGTTGACTAGTTATAGTGAATCTCCGGCTGGGAGCTGCCACGCGGAGGTGGCAATTAGGGGCCTGGTATGCCACCCAAGCATGAGACACCCATTGTTCTCCTCCACCCTGTACCCATCACCACCAGCGAAGAGGGCCAACAACATACTAGCTTGTTTGAAGGCGTTCGACCCGAGATGAGCCGGGGCGAACCCGGCCGACTCGAACCGAGTTCTCCACTGAGCCAAAGTTTCGTGTCGCTCAACTCGCTCACCCCCTTCGTATGCCACCACATTACAGATCTGCCTCCCTAGGTAACACTCGGACATAACCAGGTCCTGACTCGGTGGGGTCAACCCGGACCATTCGAGTGAGTCAAACAAACTCGAATAATAATGTAAGGCCTCAGTGAACCGGTCTAGAAAAACCGGGCCGTTGTGGTTTGCTTCCTGTTCAACAACCGTCACAATTTTAGGTTTCATGGCCTTGATAGACCCGAGAACCTTATCCATGCCACCAGGCCGACCCAACAAGCGATGCAGCTCAAAAACCGAGTTGACAGCCACTGCCTCCACCTCTGGAGGGCGGAGGTCAAGAATCTCCGCCTCAAGATCCGCCAAAGAATTAGCTACAAATCCACGAAACTCGAATTCTACGCCAATAGTTTGAGCCAATTGTGCTAGCTTCCACCCCACTAGCTGCAAAGCATCTGTATTATCAGGCTGCGGCGGGCCAATTCCCGTCAACCGAAATGCCGGAGGACCACCAGGCCTTAATGCAAGCGCTTGCATTAACGCCGGCCATTGCATTCCTTGTTTTAAACCAAAATCGATAACGTGTACTCGACTTGCATTCGCGAAAGCTTCAAGAATTGCTTGATTGGCAGTAAAATGTGCGAATTTGAGATAAGGGCAAGTCTCGTAGAAATGCATCTCTAAAGTATCTAAAAGTGAAGAATCAAGACAGTAATCTTGAGGGAAAATCTTGTAAATCCGACGAGCCAAAGCATCAGCAAAGTAAGTGGCAACTTTTCTCATAGCACCAGCTTGAGATGCTGCGAGCAGTCCAATATGCTTAACAAGGGCATCAGCAAGTTTAAGATTTTCTTGCTGAATTGCCTCTGCACAAGCCAAAAGTGTGTGGACAAGACGGACTCCAGTTTCCTGTGAGTCAACCAGAACTATAGGTCTTGTGGGCTCTGACAAAGTACCTGAAACTGCCATTGCTTGCGGAGATGAAGGAGAGGTACAAGAAGATGAATTCGTAGACTGCAAGGAATTCACAGCAGGGGCAGGCGCCGGCGCGGTATTAGACCCTATTGGGGTGGGCTTCATTCGCTTCCTATCGTTACTCTCATCGAATTCTTGTCGGGGATAGGCAGCTACGCCAGGGATTGCTCTGAGATCATATTCTGAGTCGTCAGCAAATCCTTTAGATTGAGAATTACTGGAGAAATCTAGGGAGGTGATTGTGGAAGGTTGTCCAAGAAGTGAATCTTGATTACTGGAAAGAAGAATAGGTGAATCAAGATCACTAGAGGGTAGATGGTTCAATTCAGACAGCATACTTTGAACCCAACCAGAGAGATCTGAAGGGTTATAATGAACTGTATCAGAAGCAAGATGAGAAATTCCATCTTCTGAACCCAAAACCATCTCAAGTTGCTCAAGTTTTTGAGCTACATCAGCCATATCTGAAGACTTAATTTTGTAACCCAAAACGCTAAGTAATTCATCCATGTCACCTGCATCTTGATCATCTTCAACCCATAGTTTTCCTTTCCCAGTTGCCATTGACGAAGAAGAAGATTCAGCTTTGTTCCCCATAGAATTCCCACCACCACCAATGGTTTTTGGATGATCTCTCTTCATTTTTTTTGGTGTTTTCTTGATTATTGCAGAAGAAGAGGGTTCGAGAAAGAGAGGAAGGGTAATTTCTTTACGGTTTCATTTCATAAGAATGGTGTTATGGTGGTGACATGGGGGATGAATTATTAGTTTATTTCCTTTCTTTTGGCATTTAAAGAGAAAGAAAAAAAAAAAAAAAAGTGTGTGAACAAATGATAGGCAGCTGGTGTGATAGATGAGAGGTCCAATGAAAGAACAAGAGGGGCTGGAAGTGGAAGAGATAAGGAACAATGGAGGCCATAATAATGGGCATTATTTTTCTGTCCTTTCTTTTCTTTTTCCTTTTCCTTTTCTTTTCTTTCTTATTTATTTATTTATTTTTGGGTTTGTGAAAGTTAGGGTAAATTTTATTCTCCTTTCTCCTTTTTATCTCTAGTTATTAATTAAATTAATTTCTTTGTTTTTTCTTCCAAAGAATACGCTTATAAAAGTTTGTGACGGCTTCCTTGGTACTTAAGATTGTCAATAGTTCTTGTTTATTTATTCTTCTAAAATTCCTAACATGTCGAGTATTTAATTTTTCAAACGGATTAAAAAAATATAATTAATTAACTACATGCTATATCATCGATTTTCAAATTACTTTATATTATTAATTTTATTTTAATGTAAATAAAATAGAAAAATTGGATAGAAAGAGATATAACGATAAATCTAAATAATTAATAATTTAAATTTTGAATAATAGACAATAGTTTTGAAACATCTAGAAAAATAAGTGGACAATATTTTTAGAATTTTTTTTTGGGATTTTCTAGAAAAAAATTTAAAAAAAAATTCTGAGACAATCCGTAAGCGCCGAAATTAATTTTATAATAAATCTAATTAAATTAAAGCCAAACCACTCCCATGAAAAGTAGCTAACTCACTATTATTTGCTATCCAAAAGCAATTATTCCCCTCCACTAACCTCTTAAAATAAAAAAATCAAACGCTTAAATTTCCGAAATTAAATTAAAATACCTAAAAAAATGGTAGAAAAAAATAGTTTTAGATAAGTAATTAGTGCTGAAGTGGAGTGTTTTTTTTTTCTTTTTCTTTCTTTTTCATATGATTATGAAAGTGTGAGAAACAAAGAGTCCGACGAAAAGAGAAGAAAAAAGTTATTTTTATTTGATCAAATTAATATTTAATTTTTATTATTTATAGATAATAAGTGGTAATTATTTTTAAAAAATATTAGATTTGTGCCAGTTTGATTTTTTTTTAAAAACAAAAACTATCGAGTAATTGACAAAAGATTAGTCATGTTTTTATACTGATTTAACTTAAAAATGATAAATTTAATATTGGTTAATGTAAAAATTTGCTTTTATATATATATATATATAAAAGAAAGAAAGAGTCGTGTCCACAGCCTCGTGTGATGATTATATTCATGCGCCAACAACGTCAGGTGGCCATATGTATCTATCTACTCTACTATTTCTCTCTTCCTTATTTGTTTACAAACCCACGAATGTAACTCCTACCCTCATCAGCCCACCTTTTTTCACGCTCTTTTATATATATATATATATATATATATATAGAAAATATATATTACTTTTTTGCAAAATACGAACTAAAATCTCTTCTTTTTAAACAATTCTTTAGATGCATTTTATGTTTTTCCCGTTTTAAGAAATGGATCATTTTTTATTTTCCATACAAAAGCAGAAGTAAATTGTTTTATTTTCATTGAATTAATAAAAATATTTATTTGTATTTAGATGAGTACAGAACTAAAAACTTTATGATATAAAAAGCAAATATTAGCAAAACTAATAAATATTTGTGTCATAATCCAAAAAAAAGAGAATCACCCACGCACCACCTGAATGAAGTGGGGAAGACCAACTTTTACTTCCCACATGACCACATGAAGAGTATCAATGGTCAACTTTAGGACCCAACGCTTGAGCACGGCAAGTAACACTCAACATCCAATTACTGAAAGCTCAGTGTCTTTCCACGTGCCAAGTGGCTCTATATTACGGAAAATGTAGTTCACGCGAAAACCTGGTGAATAGGGAAACACTATGATCCTTACAATAATGTTTTTTAATTTTTTTGGGAACGGGACCCACTTTATAAGTGGAGAGATTAGATCGAAGGGTGAAGGATTCAGACGTCAACATCGATTTTAGGACCATCACACCCTACCACCACCACCCTCCTCCTCTCCCCAGTCCCCTCCCCTTCTCCTCCTCTTGTGGGACCCACTTCTCGAAGTTACGGAAAATGAGGGTATAAAGTTGACGGCGTTTACGTAACGTGCCGTCTTTACACTGCCAATCTTTCAATTCAATAATAATCCTTTATGATTCTAATCATTAAGAAAAAAAAAAAGTATTCTAATCCGTGTATAAATAATATATCCAAAAATGGTTGGAAACAATTTCATTTTTGGTATGAAAATGTTTACTTTAGTTTACGTTATTCCTTAAAAAAATTCATAATAAAAATCTCTATCACTACAATTGAAAAAAATTTATAATATATAATGAGTAATTAACGTACATATACAGTAATTATTTTATAAATTCACTCCGTACAAAAAAATAAACATAAAAAAAAATAAGAGAAAAAATTTAAAAAAAAAATTGGGTCAACGTGAAATACTTTCAACTATTTTTTATAGATTCGGATGTGATTCTTTTTTATATATGTTTATCTATCTCGTTTAAAAATGAATTCATAGATTAACTACTATACTATACATAGAGTATTATAAAATTTCTATTATAATTATATAAAAAATGTTAAATAAATATATATGGTCCATGTAAATCAAATTAATCACGTTACTTGTTCTAAAATTCTATAATAATATCGTTCATTTATACGGTTTTAACTAACATAATCCATCAATGAATAATTTTCTTTAAAATGTCTTCTTAAAATAAATAGAAATATCATCCATATTTTTTTATAATAAATAGAATATACAATTTACGTGTTACTTGAAATAAAACCTAATTATACATCGTGATGAATAAATAATAAAAAATATAGAAATTACATGAAAATATATTAAATAAAAGGAATTGACATTGTACTTTCCGAATATTTTAGCCAGACAAACGTAGTTCTAAGGAAAGTTGTTGGGAAATTTTAAAACGTAGTTCTTGCCTGGCCGTTTGTTTGTTGGAAGGCGGTGTTCATGTAACGGAATGGAGACATGGAGTTAGGGGTGACGTTATGAGAGTTTTGGCTTTTTATTTCTTTTTTTGTTTTGGAAAATTAAAAACCAAACTGAAAAGCAGAGAAAAAGGAAAGAAAAAAACATTGAAAGAGGAGAGCAGTACTGACACCTTCAACTCTCATGTTGGCCCTTCACCATGTGATTCTGCCACGTTGCCCAGATTCTCATCTCGTGATGGTCCCCACCAGTTCCTCATCTCAAAGTTTGTTACTTCCAAATTTCCCTTTTTTTTACTACCTTTTTATCTCATTTATGTAGGTATTTATTTTATTTTATTTTCATTTTGGAATTCAATTTTGAATTGTTGATATATCACTAATAAGATATATCTTTTTTTATTCATTTCATTTTTTCAAATATTAAGAAATAATGTATATCCTATATTATATAATGGATAATAGTCCAATAAATTAATTATATCTTAATATTTTTAGTGAGTTTTCGATTTTTTAGCGAATTTACTAAACTATTGGAAAAAATCATGTGACTATGCATGATTATTTTTTGGAAAATTCTACTTAGTTGAACTTAGGCAAATCACATGATTTTTTTAAGAGAATTTTTTTATAAAAAAATTAATTATATACAAGTTGTTGTTTTTTTTTTTTTTTTTTGTGATTTTGACACTATTAGTCAGTATTGGTGTCCAAACCCAAAAGAAGGATGCCATGTTTTTTTCTTTTTTCTTTTTGGGATAACGAAACACTCTCACTTCTGAATATATGTGAATTTCAATTGCATATACAATTATTGATGTACAAAGTAGGTAAGAGAAACTCCAATGCTAAGTGAAAAAAAAAAAAATTGGTGGAACTTCTTTTTCATCCAAATAGTTTTAATTCTTAACTTTTGGCATTGAAATCCATTTTCTTAAAAAAAAAAAAAAAAAAAAGGGTTACAAGAAATACTAATCGACAATCACCAAAGTCCAAAAGAAAATAAGGAGATGAAACTTCACCATAGCTATATAATTAAGTTATAGTAAGGTACGTAAAATCAAATTGTGCAACACAAGGACAATGCTACGAAATAAATGTTCTGTACAATATTAGCTTTCAAAATTCTGAACTAGCTAGCTAGCTAGCAACATCAATGTAACTAGCCAAGGCAAAATTGCCTACTCTTTTGCATCAATAATTCAATGTATATTTTCATTGATCTATAAGCTTTTCACCCATTAATTACTACGTACGTACATTATCATCTTTGAGCTGATTGAATTTGCTGTACAAAACCAATCGTGCACCATCCAACTCTTTCCTTTTACGAGCATTATCGTGCTAGGGTCTACCTCTTTGCGCAATAAATCAACCAAACCCTAATTGCTAACCTAGCTAGCCATTCCAAAAGGGCAGGCCTTATCTTGTTTTGAACGTGGACCTACTGCGAAAGAGTCCTGCAGTAGATGCAAATGCATCACCTAATCAAAGGCTATTTAATAATCATGCTCTCCTTGTAATCTTTTTCCCGATCTTATCTTGTATTCCTCAACTCATCAATGGAGGGTTATGGTCCATGGAGCTATCATTACTGACCTGATCAAAATGTTGCATCCCCTACCTGTTTCATCTTAGGTTTAAGAAAAACATTATGTGAATCCTATGCATATTGTTAGTGAATATGAAAAAACATTTAATAAGATCTCATCTAATTATTTAAAAAATTTAGCTGAACTGATTTTTTTATATATATAAAATATCAAAATTATAACAATTAAATTTTTAAAATTCTGGATTGAAAGTAATGGTTATTTTACTTTTATATATATATATATATATAGCAAGAATCTTTTTTGTTGATATTCAATGTGTGTAATTTTGCCAAAAAAAAAAACCATTAAGAACCAACAATTTTGACCATGTCGAAAAACCCTTTGGCAATTTTCTTTTGCTTTCCCCGGTGATACTTACAAGAAGGTTTTTTTCTTTCTTTACAATTCCTAACTTTTTTTAGGGAAAAAAAAAAAAAAACTTTCTATCTCTTGTACCCACAAAAATTTCTAGAGGGTTCTAATAATATTTGTAAGGGTTAATATTCTCTTATGTTCTTATGCAAAATATCAATTTTTTAATTTATCTTAAAAAAAAAATCTCTAATTTATGTTCATATTTTGAACTAATTTTTAATCTATCTTTTTATTTAAATTTTTGGACTAAATTAATTCAAATTAAGCATGTGATTTACATATGATATGTGATTTGATAAAATTATTTTTATTATTTGACACAATTAATTTATACCTACTAATATAAAAATTAATTTTTAAAAATTAGTAAAAAAAATGATTAGAATGATAGATTAGTAACAAACTTAAAATATAATGATAGATTAGAAGGTTTTTTTTTTTTTTTTTTTGAAATACCCCACTTGCAAGTTGCAATACAACACACGGTGCAAAAGTTTTTGATATTTGTGTTTTAATCCTGGGTTAGAGCTAATTTATTGTTACTGACTGTAGAATGATTGAATAAGCACAACTAATCTCAAAATTTATTCAAATCAAACATTAAAAAAGAGAGAGAATTATTCAAACTAGCTAGCTAGGTGGTCAAGATCATAAACTCCAGCACTTGTCCACCTCAATCCAAACCATGATCACATGGTTGTCCATATCGTGTGTTGCCATGTCGAATTTTCCCATTTGTCATTTCATCTTTGATTCAAGTAGAAAAAACTAGTGCAATCCCTCGTTCAAATGGAAGTCAATAAGATTCCTTTACTCTGAATTAAGATCTCATTAGCTAGATACCATGTTGTCACATTACGTTAAACCCCACAAATTGTTTGATAATGATATGCATTACTTTTATTATTTGTTGATCTCGGTGCATAGAATTAATTAATTATTATTATATGTTAATGTATTTATGGGAATTTAATCTTTGTTAATTCCACATTCTTAGATTATTGTTCCTTGAGGATTCACGCCGGCAAGTAATTATAAGTGATACAAACAAAGTACATGCAACCAATTGATTTAGAATTAAGTAACATTATATCTCAATCCAAAAATTAATTAATTACTGCCCTCTTGTGTCTCTAAAGTGATTAGAATATTATTAGTCTTCAACAATGGCTGATTAATTATGTATTTATAAATTGCAAAGTTGATGAAGTCATTCTGAAAGTAATAGGATACTTAATATTCTAAAAGCGATTATTAATGGAAAAACAGTCTAACCTTTGGGTTAGTGAGTCAGACACTCACAATATTGTAAGAATTAACAGACAATATATTATAGTATATGTTGTGTACACATACAACGTACACACATATAACCATATGTATACAGCTGTATCCACATGAATATTTTTCTAATTGACCCAACTTGATTCATAAATTTGATTAATCAATTCAATTAAGGAAATTTTATTTTGATCCCTATTTATTTACCAAAATCATAATCAGTCTCTAGCTTTAATTTTTTTGAAAAAAAATAAAAAACTTAAATCAAAATATTTAATAGCATGACGATACATTTATATAAAAGTTCTACTCCAAGCACACGCAATTGAGCCGTGGATAGTCAAGTGAAATCTAATATATGAAAAAAAATTAAAAAAAATCACTCTTTGTTCCTTAATTTTGTATTACATTTATAATTATTCATGCTGACAGTGTATCATTTATATCCCCATGTTGTTTTGTTATCATCATACGCCAAGATTAATTTAAAAATGCAATCAAGATGTGATCAGCTTCGCCCATGAATTAATTTTTAGAAACCGCACGGATTAGTGTTCAATTTGTATGTCTCCCACTAACGATTTTGTTTAAAAAACAATTACAAACCCATTAATTTTTCTTATCCAGCCAAGAAAATGTCTGCCATCCATGCATAAATTTACACACATCAATAAGCAATTAAATAATTCAAGTATAAAATTTCTTCTAAAAAGCTAGTTTAAATGAAAAATAGAATGAACACTAAGATAATAAGGTGTCAATGCAATTAAATATCACCTAAAATGAAATGGGTTATAGTATTAATAAAAAAGGGCCTCGCCCTAAAAATAAATGGAAATTTTAACCACCTTTTGCTCTCTAAAAATAAAATAAAAATAAAAAATTGAGAAACCATAGTTCAAGAGCCAATATTTTGCCCTCCGCCTGATCCATGCACATATTTTGGGATGGTGCTTCTTATCTTCTCAAGGATAAGGATAGAATAAAAGTAAACCAATTTTGGAAATTCAATGTATATGTATAGTAGTAACATGGTACTGCTAGTGCTGTCAATAATATTATTTACTGCATAGTTATCCACTCTTTCCTTGCACAATTTCCATCAATTGAATTGGAAAAAAAGAAAAAAAAATTGTAAAATTTTCACTTTCTTCACTCATTTTCACTTTCGGGTACAAAGTACAACACCAACGCTATTGTAGATTACTCTCGTCAACTTCTTTGAAAAACTTGGCCAGGTGACGAATGGTGGGCAGACGACAAGATATGGTGTCAAATCAATTTTCCTTATCTATCTAGTTAAAACAAACATGGCCTTTCCCTTTTCCCTTTTTTTTTTATTTTTTATTTAATTTTTACTGCACACTGCACGTTTACCATGTACACTGGTTGGCTTCTCACCTGCGCCGTCCTACACCAAATTAATCATATTTATTTTAATTTGGTGATACATAATAAATAAAAATATATAAAAATAAAAATAAAATTTTATCTAATTTTATAGTTTTTTTATTAAATTTTTGTATCAGATTTTTTTTTATTTTTTAATAAATTTTATAATTAAAATAACACAATCTGTTCTTTTTATTCATTTATTATTAAATAAAAACTCATAATAATTTAAAGATAAAATTTTAAAAAATATCTTGATACTTTTTTCATAACATTATATAGAAGAAATAAAGCAAAAATTAATAAAAAATTCTATAAAAATTAAAAATTGAATCTTTTTATTCTTATTTAATGCTGAAGAGAAATTTTTTTTAAAAAAAATATATATTTGATTTATATATATTTATTGATAAAATAATGAATAATATTTGTATGAAAAATTATATTTGAATTATTAATCAATTCTTCTAAAACATTGTTTCAATTGTTTTATATGAAAAAATAATTTTAAAATATAAAAAATAATAGCAAAAAGTTGATGTTATATGTATAGATATATTTTTAATTTCAATAAAATCAATGAATCTTATATATTTTTTTTATATATTATGACTGTACTTATTGGGTTAGAGTGTGCAAAATAAACTTTTTTTATAAAAAAAAATTAAGTTGTAAAAAATTGATTGAAGTTAATCGAGTGCAATAAAAAATACAAAATTAGTTTTGATAAAATTTGTTTATATAAATAATAAGTAAATAAAACATGTGAATTCTATTTTTAAAATTTGATTGTAAAAAAAGTATGCAAATAAAAACAACTAAAAAAAACTTATTCAAAAATTCATACATAGAGACAATAAATTATATTTATTAACAAATAAAATTACGTAAAAAGAAGGATAAAAAATTAATTTGATGAGAATTTTTATAAGAAATAGTAAATTAAAAAGATTAATTTTAAACATTAAGAGTAATATAATCTTATATATATATATATATATATTCTAAAATATAAAAATATCGTATATATTTTATAATAGTCAGTATGTATAAAAAATGATTGATTTTTCATAATTTTTACACCCAATTTAATAATAAAAAAACATAAATTGGTGGAAAATAGAAAAAAGAAAAACAAACAAAAATAACGATTGATTTTTCATAATTTTCATGCCTAATTAATAATAAAAAAACATATATTGATAGAAAAAAAAAAGCAAATAAAAAAATTAAAGAAAAAAAGCAGCCCAATGCAGTAGCTCTAGGGATCAAACATTTCACTTTAAAACTTCAGGAATCAAAATAAAACATGATGTATAATTTAAATATGAATATTCAAAAATATTTTAAAAATCACAAAAATGCTACTCTTTGCTACAACAATCAACAATGAGAGATTAGAGAATGAACAATGAAAATTACTATTCAAAAACTCCACGTCTTTTAATTTTTTTAATGAGAGTTTTAATTCATAGAAAGGTTAGCTCTATCACTTTTTACTTTTCATTATTTTTTATTCCTTTGTCGTACAAAAGGATAAACTAACATCACAAACTAATCTCTTATATTTAATATGGCACAAAATCTAATAATTTATGGTATTTATATATAGTTTTAAAATAACTATAACATAAATATATTGTCGGCTGAACCTGAGAGTCAATCATAAAACTAGTGACTTAAAAGCCGGATCAGTTGACTTGTGATAGCTAAATTAATATTGTGCTAAGCATAATTACAAGGATTGAACCAATGGGTGAGTTGGCAAAGGTTTTAATTTTATTAATCGATTGAATCATCAGTTCACCATTTCAATCATAGATTCATAAAAGGGCTTTTTCTATATTTAGAGTTTGTATTTTTTTATTGAATTTTTTTGCTCGGTTATTTTTTTTAAGTTTTTTTACTTTAAACTTTCCGGTATAACGTCACTAATCGACATATTATTTTTATTCTTTAATATTTTTTATTGTATAATATCACGTGTCGATCAATAATCAGTAACATTATAATAAAATGTTTGAAAGAACAAATTTAAAAGAGTAGATAATTTTAATAAAAAATAATAATCACAAAAGATTGTAATTAAAAAGATTTGAAGTATACAAAATCTAAATATAGAAAAAAAAACCCATAAAATTTTACTTTTTTTGTTTCTCCATAGCCATATGTAATTTCCATGATTTGCAACAGTTAGAACTTAAAATTTTAGTTTATAATATTGATTTATTTATATTTTCTTAACCGAATGCATAAAAAGTGTGTGTATATATATAAACGGTAAAAAATGATTCCCAGTAAAAAATTTCAAATCCAGCGAAGGACTATAGCAAGAAATTCCGTACAGTCTTTATGCATTTGCATCAAATCACGCATCTGTCCAGAAACAAAACGACGACTTGCCGCTCCTAAACAGTTCTTGTACCTCATCCGCACTAACCTGAAAATAATCATGGGAGAAAGCCACCTTCTATGTTCGCGGGAGAACAGACAAAAAGAAAAGGCTCCAGAGTCCAGACCATGGAGAGTTCATTATTGACCTGCAACTGGATGGTTTAACCATTTATGTAAGAAACTTTCCAGTGGTTCTTGCCAATTATAACACATATCTATACTTCAACAATCAACACTCTGTTAGTTGAACAGTCGGATCTTTTACTAAAACTGGAATTGTTTAGTGGCTGATATGCTTGTACTCAGGTTCAGCGGATCATGTTGTGCGTCGTTGATGATGACATTGTAGCAATATCACTATTTACCATGGAAGTGGAAAGGCAAGGCAGGGCAGGGCCCTTCCTCCATCATGTGGCTCCCATGTCTGCCTCTAAACTCACTACCACCACCATGCAAGCCGTACACCTGGGACCCTCCATCATGTGATGTGAGCTGTGTGTTCTCTGCACTACCTGGATGGCTTTTGTTTGTGATGGTGAGTCATGGGTCGGGAGGGAGCAAAGTGGCTCACAAGGAGTCATGACTGGCTTCTAGTCGTACCATTTCTGGGAGAGAGATGGCATGGACCTGACCATAAAATATCTTAGTGGGATCCTCCAAGCAAACAAAATGGAAATGCAAATTCAGGGCATCCTATGCACTAAATTCACGAATCCTGTGTTTGCTTAATTAGTTAATGTGTATAAATTCATGTTAATTCGTCTTTTAACCAAGTTAATTAGCTACTCAATTCTTGTAATCATTTAACCAAGTTAATTAGCTAGGCTGTTAATTAGTTTAAGACTCAAACTTGATCATCTTCTTGCACTTTCACTATATTTATTTGATATTTTTAAAAATAATCGGTCTTTTATCTTACCATTTTCTTTTTTTTTTTTTTCAGAATAATTGGAACCTTTCAGTTCTCGAAGATTAATTTTGCTCAAGTGCCTTCAAATTTGGATTATGACAAACTACAATTACCTTTCATATATATATATATATATATATATATATATATATGCATGATCCAGGATCCGGCATGTGATTGCATCAAATAGGTTCACAATAATGAAATGTACCTGCGTTTATAAACGTCAATAATTTGTGCTCATTTATTAGTACATGGACACCGTCTCATGTGTTTACTTGTTTGGAAATTATATAGGAGAAAGCGAGGAACCCAATTATATAAGAAATCCTTAAGAAAGAAAAATTAAAATTTATATATTCAATTGAGAAAAAAAAATTATAATTTGATATTCTAAAAGTAACCGACTTGTTATCACTTAACAAAAATAATAAAAAAAATACTTGATTATCAATTTTAAGAAAATAAACTAAATGAAGAATGAAGGATTTTAATCAAGTTAAAAAAAAAAAAAAAAGGAAGGTCTTCAAACTTTCAATGCACTGTCTTGGTCCAAAAAATAATAGTAGAGGCAATTAATGGCAAGTTTGGTCCAAAAATAAAGAGAGAATAAATGTTGTTCTCTTTCTCAAGCAATTTTGCATTCTTCACGACAAAGAAACCGAGCAATCAATCCTCTCATCAATGCATCATGTTTTTTTTCTTTATGACTAACTTCATTATTTCTTAATTCAGTTATCATCATTTCTCTTTTACTTATTAGATGACTTTTGAGTTTTATTAAATAACTTGAAGTTATTTTGATTTGATACTGCGATAATAATGGTGATAGTATTTCATTGATATTCATTCTAAAAAAGATTAGTTAAATTTTTTTTGAGTTTTTTTATTTTTATCGCGTGATAAATTTATCTGATACGTCATGTCACATAAATTTTTTTATGTCGTCTCAATTTTGAGCAAAAAGTTGACCAAAAAAGTTTATTAGAAGGACCACATTAAAAAAAAAAAAGAGTAAAAAGTCGTTTCATGCAATTAATTGAAACAATTAATATTGAACAAACAAATTCAACATTTTGTTACTTTATTAATTAAAAAAAAAAGAGAGAAATCTTTTCTCTTTTATATGCTGGTTGAGTATTAACAAAAATGGAAAGACAATCGAAAAAAGCATGCAATATTTCTCTTCACGATTGCCCTGAATTGGAATTTGGGCACCAACAGCAAACATGGATTAGCATTGTCACCCATCTGCCAAGCCTCATAAAAACCATATGTACATGCTTTTGGTAGGGCCATAAGATAACGAACACAATCTAGCCCATGTGCGTCATGTTCCTCCATTACATTCTCATAGTACAAGCGTCCATTGAAATCTGAGAGGCAGTTTTTTCCCTTTCTCCTTCAATAATTCTGGGGTCCTGAACGAAAGGCTATGGACTGCGTGTTACAGATGGTCGAGGCAGCTTTGGGCATCGGCAAATGGGAAGAGAAACGGATGGTGGACGATTTTTCAAGGGGAATTCTTGCTCCTCTTGAACAGCCCCTTCACATGGGTTTTCATGTGATTTCAAGCAATGGTGTCCGAATTAGTACTAAATGCCCATAAAGTGTATTGTAGGCCTGAAGGGGAAACTACCATTTAAGTATAACCTGTACCCACATTGACAGGACTTGACTTATTGTTGGGTCCGAAAGAAAAAAAAATTGCAACCCCACCATTCACCATGCTACTATAATTGTTACCACCTTCTGGACGTCCAGCAGCTCTGTAACATTCTTCCTCTTTTCCTTCCCTTTTGAATGATGATGGATTTGGATCCATACCCTTTTTAAAATAAGTCAAATAGGTATCGAAATGGAAAAGCTCGACTGGTGGCCGGAAAGGAGGAGAGAAATGGATTTTTTCTCGGACGTAAAATGAAGCACTTGAGCTTTGTTTGGGTAGATTCTTGTTCAAACCTTTCTACCACTTTGATATTGTGTTCTTATATTCATTAGTGATGTCAATTAAATCTGAACCTAATTGATATCCACCTAAACGGTTCCGGCCAAATAAATGGTTTTTTTATTTGGATAGTTATTGTTTTAGGTTGAATAAGAATATCTAAAAAATCATATATATATATATATATATATATATATATATATATATATATATAAAGAGAGAGAGAGAGAGAGAGAGAGAGAGAGAGAGAGAGAGAGAGAGATTGTAGGGCATTTTTAGACTAATTTTTACATCGATCGAGGCTAAATTCACTATTTTCTGAATTAACCCAATGAGAAAACATGTTTAGTATTTGAGCACTAGGGTATTTGTTTGCTATTATTTGAGCTTTCTTTTAGACTAAATAAACCTAAGTTTGATATCACTAATTAAAAAATAATTATAACTAATTAATTGTTCATGGATGGTAAAAATTAAATCTTAATCTTGACGAAACCAAGACAACTTGAACAATAAATAGATATAGATACTCAAATAACAAAAGCTCAAAAATCAAATATAAATACCGAAATTTCCAGCTAATAGATAGTGAATAGTAGATGAATATTGATTTTGAGCTATGGGATAAGGATGTACTAAAATCTCCATCCATAAATACCCATGCACTGTCATTCCTACTATTCATGGAGAATTTCATCTATTTTGATGTCATGAACAAATCAGCATTTTGGGAGATTGAAGAACTTTATTTTATTTTCATGATTTATTAATTAGGAAAAGGACAGAAACCGAAACCTCTGGAAAGAGAAACTGAAGAATTTTTCAACGAATATGAAATCATGACACCAGCGATCTGGTAAAATGTTGTGATCAAGAGATTATCCTGAACTTTCATGTACGAATGAACAAAAGAAAGTGACTTCATGTCAATGTACAGTGGTGAAGGACATGAGAGAACTTTTGGGACAAAAATACTGAATGAAGATATTCAAATCTCAAGGATTGTCAATTTCTAACCAGCTGATGCATTTGTCAATTAACGCGTAGCAGATACACATGCGAGATTTGGCTAAGGTGGTAATTAGTTGTCTTCCATATGAGTCTCATTTTGGATTTAAAAGAGAAAGAAAGGACTTTTTTGTGATTGTATAAGCCCAGTCCCTGAGAGTGAGACATGGATTTGACCAGAAATGAACTAGCACTCCATGAAAGAAAGCTAGCTTAAGAAACCCTGAACTTTAGAACCAAAAAAGAAGAAGAAGAAAGAAAGAAAGAAAATTAGTTGATGGTTGCAAATTTCAAGACTTTTGAATTCTTTGGAACCAAAACAATACAAGCAGCATCAAAAGTTTTTATTTTATCCAATTTTCGGATAGTATAAATGTTCTGCCACAAATGGGTTATGATATCTCACTGCAACAAAATGGGTGCGTTGGCCATGAACTTTAGCCGCCAAAGACAGGCTTTGGCGATAAGGAAATCTGGCAACAAATTTTAAAATAAAATTTTCTACTTGCATTACATCATATAAATTGTTAATCTTATATATGTAATAATGGTCTACTTACGGTATAATGCAGGTATTCGACTAATATCTCTTTATAAGAAAATGGGTGTGTTGGAGATGAGCTTTAGCCACGCTAAAGACAGGCTTTGGCGACGAGACAAGCTGGGGACAAATTCTTTGTCATATATGATGCAGAAATAAGAGGCCCAAACCATTAGCCGCTAAAGACAGGCTTTGGAGACGAGGAAAACTGGCGACAAATTCTTTGTCACATTTGATGCAGATATAAGAGGCCCAAACCATGACCTAACTCAGAAATTAATTTGGTTCAACTTTTGTGGGCCAGCCCAGTTCTGAATGGCTCAAAGCTAGAGTAAATTACAAATTAGTCTCTTGGTTTAGAAAAACGAATTACTTAAGTTTTTTTTTTTTCTCTCAAAAACTAATCATTTAGTTTTTTTAAAATTTTAATTTCATCAATAACTTAGTCTTTTCATTATATTTTTATTAAATCGGTGATTTTTGTTCTTAAATTGCTTTTTTTAATTGAGGAAAGAGAAAGAGGGTGGGTGAAATAAATAAATAAAATAAATAAAACATTTAAAGGAGCATGATTTGAAAAAAAAAAAATCATTAATCTAATGAAAAACTGATGCAATAACTAGCTCAGGCTTTTTGCCACCTAAAGGCCGAACATCATTGGCAAAAAGAGTCTCCATTCTCCATCATTTCTTTCTGTGCAGATATATGAAAGAATCACTTATGGGTAAGCTGAGAACTATAAGCATCAAGCCAAGCTGCCTAATCTCAAAGAAGGGTTTTTTTTTTTTTTCCTGAACGAATCTTCAAGGAGTGGATTTTTTACGTGATAGAAAATTTGTAGGAGGCTGTGTTTGGTTAAGAGTAGAGAAGTTTAAATGTTAAAGAGATAATTTTTTTGAGCATATTTTAGGAGATGAACAACAACAAATAGTGGTTTCGTTGGTAAAAAATTTAGATTTTTAATAAGAAATTTAAGATTCAAATCTCATTTTTCACGTTCATTTTTTTTATTCTAAAAATATGGAGGTTTGAAATCCTTTAATTTTAAAAGTAATCTGTACCCATCGAAAATAATTGAAAGATGAACAGTTATCGTATTATTAAAAAGAATTAGAAGATGAACAAAAAAAATTAAAAGGGTTAATGCATGGCATTTGATTAAAAAAATAATAATAACAATTAAATTTCAAGAAAGATCATTTAAAATTTCAATAAAACTTTTTCATAATTTGGGCGAGGAGGAAGCATGAAATTGGGCTGGCCGTGTGTAGGCCAAGCCCAAGCATATCTTTCCACCATCCTTTTAATGAAGTGAAAGAATTTTCCAACGAAAATAGAGCAATTTCAAGTCCATGAATAAGTTTCTAAAAACTCTTTGAGTTAACAATAAATACTGTAAATTTTTAGCGAAATGAAACATATTTTGTGAAGATAAGTACTTGCTCTGTTTGTTTGGACCAAAACGAAGAGTTTGAGATATAAAAGAATTTATGGAATATTTATAAGAAAAAAATGTTAAAATATGGCATGAATATACATCTTATCAAATCATATTATTAAATATATATATATATATATATATATATATATATATATATATATATATATATATATATATATATATATATATATATATTTGCACTATACTCTTTATTTTGATAATTTTTTCGAAACATACCAATTATAAAAACATCAAGAAAATACATTTCGGCAAACAAATGAAATATTATTAGTAGAATGAATGTAGTTTCAACGTGTTCTTTTTTTTTCGTAGTTGATATGATTACACAAAAAAATGTTGAAATGTTTCTTGTTTCAAAAAATAATTAATTAGTTATTTAATCAGTGTTTTTTAAGATTAACATAATATTATTTTATCTTTTAAAATGTCTTTTTTCTCATCAATTTTATCAAATTTTTTCTCTTTTTATTTTTTAAAACAAAATAAATTTAAAAAACGAAAAAGATTAAGTTACTAACAAATTTAAAAATATAGAGATTAATTAGTTAGGTTTTTAAATTAGAGGGACTATATAAGTTTTTTTGAAAAATAAAGGGACTGATTTATAATTTACTCATAAATGCAATACACATGGCACGTCCCGAATCCAGTTGCTTCCAATGTGATAGTTCAATCTTTTTTATGACACAAGCCAGAGCAGGGATTGAGCCTCATCCCTTGCACTGTCTCAATTTTTATACACACCATCAGGCAAAGCCCAGAAACAGTTTTTTTTTTTGGAAAAAAAAAACAAACTTTCAAATGTCGACTGCAAGAATCCAACCAACAGTATCAGCAGCTTGTGTTCTGTCTTCCACCATCAAACACCACTTCGGTTCAACAACTCTCCGTCTCCCTACAAACGACGCTGCTGCATTTAGACGCCAAAGAATCAAAAGAAACCTCACTGTTTCAATGGCTAGTGCTTCAGTTACGAATCCTCTTGAAATCTGTGTCAAAGCTTCTGTTACTGTCCCTGATAAACTCGGTGACTGTAAGTAAATCATGTTTTCTTTCTTGGGTTTGTTTTGTTTTCTGTTTATTTTATTTTCTTGGTCGGGTCATTTGGAAATGCCAAATTAATGTTTTTGAATGCCCTTTTAGGTCCTTTCTGTCAAAGGGTATTGCTTACTTTGGAGGAAAAGCATCTGCCTTATGACATGAAGTTGGTTGATTTGAGTAACAAACCTGAATGGTGAGCATTTTAAGCCATTTTCCTTGTGTTCTTAAATTATGCAGCAGTAAAATTAGGCTTTTGCTGCAATGCTTTGAAGGAATTGCAATAGTAATGTCTTTTCATAGCAAGTACCATGACAATATATAACATCATATTATAATTCCGTGAATTTATTAGTATGTTTCAAGGAATCCTTAAAGTTATGTGAATTTTAGGGAAGGCTGGTGTAAAATCGCAAAATGTTATGTGAAAAACACAGTTCATTTTGTAAAACAGGAATTGTAAAAGTTTCTGGATTAGACAGAAAACTCCTTGAAGTTTCCAATTTTAAACTGAATGATGACAGAACTCCCACGTGAGAGTTGAATAGTGAATGGATAGTGATTTTGTTGAAAAATTTTGTAGCCCTTGTAATTTTGCCAACCCTTTTGCGTGGTCGGTGTTATTTACCCTTATTTCAGACTGCAAGTTGAATGTATTCGATTTTTACTTGATACACTGATAGAAAAAGATATTTCATACTGCTGTAGCAAGTAGTCAAATTCAATAATGACTTTGGGTAAAAAAGGAATGAATCGAGTCCGATTAGGTGAATATTTTATCTAATCACAACATTGTTGACTGCATTGCTTTGATAAGCAGCAATAATGAACCTTAGTTCGGCCAATTGTTGGTTGAATTCAACCACCATTCAGTTGACATAGTAATAGTATTGCCTGTTTACTGACCGGTTTTGAATGACGTCTGGTCAAAACAAAGGCAGTGCCTTTGTTTTGTAACCAAAGGCATCTATGAAGAAAAGCAAGTAATGGTGGATAGCTATTTTACTTTGCTTTGTCTACTTGGTTCATATTTGACCATTTTTTTTTATTAGTTATGTTTGTTATTTGGATACAGGTTTTTGAAACTAAACCCAGAAGGTAAAGTTCCTGTGATAAAGTTTGAGGAGAAGTGGGTTTCAGATTCAGATGTTATAACGCAAGCACTGGAAGAAAAGTTTCCGGATCCACCTTTGGCAATCCCACCTGAAAAGGCTTCAATGTATGTTACTCTTACTCTCTGACCTTGTAATGCTTGGTTCTTTCATTTTATGGGAAGTGTTTTCTTACAATCATGTGAAGCATAGTTACAAATTCCTTAATATTTAATTGCACTTAAGTGTTTTCATTTGCTGATTTACCTAGGAGGAGGATGAGGAGGAGAAGGGGGTTGAGGATGGTGGTGGAAGCATTAATTAAAAAGTCTACTTAGAAAAATCAAACTCATTTAAAATTGTTATTTTCTTTTAGTAAAGCAAATCCGGGACTGCCATCATGTTTGAACTTCTGATTAAGCAAGGTCAGATGCATCTATAATGAATGATTTGTTTAGAGGCCATGTTTGTCGAATTGCCACCTTTGAGATTTTTGGAAAGTATTGTAGCTTACCAGAGAGTTTTCTAACTTGAAGTTCCCATTTGAAAATGCTGCCTATGCCCGACTATCTACCTACCTGCTCACAACATTATTGAGGGTGTGAAGAAGTTTTTTTTATGCCTAGATGCAGAACCCTTTATGTTTCCCTTCACTTGTATCATCCTCAGATTCTAATGTAGAAATGCATTGCTTTGAGCTTGTTATATTTCTTTGTCAATACATATCTTTGGTCATTGTTTCTGTTGCTAATAAGGTGCAGTTCATTGCAAAGGAGGCTTGAGTTCATTTTGGGTCCAAATCTAATTGGACAGAAGAAGATCCCTTGGTTTTATTTTTAATTGTGTTGATACCTTTGACAATCTATATTTGTCGCTATGAATAGTAGTAGCCAAAAATATCAGAGGTACACCAAATGATGTCGTGGAAGTAACAAAAACTGATCTACTTTTACAACAACTTGCAAAAAAATTGTGGTAAATGCAACAAAATAGAGAAGATATTTATAAACCACGACAACTAGTTTGGGAATAAAGTTTAGTCAGTGAGTTGAGTTTGTTCGGCACTATTAATCTGAATTTTAGTTTGCTAGAAGTCCATAACATATTAACAACGTAGAAGATCCCAAGTTTCGTATCTTAGTTGAGGTTTAATGTTATTTACCTATTTTGATGCAGAGGCTCAAAGATCTTCTCTACATTTATTGGATTTCTCAAAAGCAAAGACCCCAATGATGGAACAGAGCAGGCATTGCTCAGTGAGCTTAGTGCTTTCAATGATCATATCAAAGAGAATGTAAGTGCTTATTTATCTTCAAGCTGAAGTGGCCAGCTAACCTTGTGGTACAAATGGAAGAAATGAAAAAGAAAGTGTGATGATGCCATGCTTTTAATGTTTTAATCAGCTTATAGATGCAAAGGATTAATCTGATTGCAATGGAGATGCCTATTTATTTTTTTATAGCAACGTAAATCGTGGTGGATTCTCATATTTCCCTAGCATAGAAATTCTTCTTGAGTTCTGAAGTCATAAATGCGAGCATTGATACTGCTTTCAAGAATTTTAAATGCATTTGTTTGAAAGTTGAGTGATACCATTTTACCTTTAAGCCTTTTTTGCTTCAATTTAATACATTTATTGTTCAAGAATTCCTTTATGCATTGTCCAATTTTGGAATCTGATTGTCTTTTTACTGATTTATATGATCATTTGTCTTCTCTACTTCAAAGGGGCCTTTTATCAATGGGGAAAAGGTGTCTGCAGCTGATTTGGCCCTTGGACCAAAGCTGTACCATCTGGAGATTGCTCTGGAGCACTATAAGAGCTGGTTGGTACCAGAATCACTTCCCTATGTAAAATCCTACATGAAGGTATCTCCTATAACCTAGTCCTCTGATATGGTGTGTTACATATGTGAACATCATATTTTGCAGCCAATGAATGCAGACTTTGACTGTGGTCTTTTACCTGTAACATATTCTAATGCTCTGCTATTACCTAAATGGCACAGTGGCAAGCATAAGCATCCTCTCCCTCCCTCCCTCCCTCCCTCCCTCTCCTCAGTTGCTTGTTTTCCCTTTATGACTTCCATTGTGCTCCGTTCTTTTTTCTTTGGATTTTTCATAGATTTTGGTCCATTTAGGAGTGCTTTGCCCAGGGTGGCTGTCCTAGTATTACATTGTTCATTCATTACAAAGAAGAAATAATATAATATGGGAAAAGATAATGGAAAATGTAATTTGAAAACAAGCATAGGTTTCAATGAAGGGGAAAAGAAACTTTTGGAAGCTTTTCAAGCTCTCATGTCGAAGTCTACTGTTGTACTTGCAAATTCTGCTTCCAATTAAACAATAAGCTTGCCTTCGACTTCATTGTAATCATGTAGTGTTGTCTTCATGGCTCCCAAACACTTAGGCCCTTTCTGGTTATAAAAAGAGGCGAACTGCTGCCTTTGGAACATATATAAACAATGTTATGCAGTTTAGGTGCTTTTCCTTTTGTTACCTGCTAGAAACGTCACCAGTAAACTTGAATGGCCACATGACCAAGTATGTGAAACCCTATTCTAATCAGCAACTGCCATGGGCATTGGAGTAGATATGCTTGAGCAACTGGTTATTTTGATCCATGAGTTATGACATGTTAATTCTTCAAGTTTAAACTCTCCCTAAAAGTATATTTCTGCGGATTACTGGTTTAGTATAACCATAGCCATCTTGTATTCTGTGTATAATTACATCTGTTTTTGACAATGCCGAATTCCTGTTATTCAGGAAATTTTTTCCAGAGATTCATTCGTTAAAACACGTGCTCTGCCAGAGGATGTCATTGCTGGCTGGCGCCCGAAAGTCCTGGGTTAAAATTTCTTAATAGCTGCTTTACTTTGAGTAATTCTTTTGGCATCTATTCTTATCTTCAATAGTTAATGCGAAGCTGCAAGGTCCACCAGATTTACCTCCTTCACATGTATTTAGCCTTGAAACTAAATATAATTTTTCTTTCAGTTACCAGATGGAAATATATCACCAAATTTATGGAGATGAGAAAAATCTACGTATGTATAGGTCACGAGGGTGTCATTGTCAGTGTAATGGTATATATGCTTTGCTAAATGCTTTTTGCTCAATGTACATGCTTTTGTTTTCCCAGTGTCCCAATCTGCACTCTTTTTCGTGATTTGCTTGCTTGGTAGGTATAGCTTTTGCCAAGTGCTCATGTGATAAATGTAGACACAGAAGTACAGAACTACCGAGCTCTTCGAGTTCAAGAAGATTGTTCTAGTGAGGTCCATTTACTCTCTGAGATTCTTGATTGACCTTATCTTCTGTTACTAACAAGTTTTGCATAATTTATCTGACTTGTGGCCAAGTTAGCTTCAGCATCAACTTCAGTATATTGAGCATGGTAGTTAACAGTGATATAATTCTGCATAAGAGAGAGCTGCAGAGACTTATTGCTTCACTATACTATGTTTATAGATCAAGCGAAGAGCAACTTCTGTGATTTGTAGGAGCCATCTGCTAATTGCAGTTTGTTCACCTTAGTCCATGCCACAGTTAACCCATAGAGTGTGGATTTATTAATGCCTGTAGATTACTCGACGTAGGAATGGCTAATAGTTCCAAATCCTCAAATTGAACTAGAGAAGGGAAGTAACAATTAGCCTGATGTCTTCAGATCCAACAACTACGTTTCTGTCTTCCTCATTGGAAGCAAAGCAATGATGTCCTGGCAATGCTTCTAAGCAAATGGAACCTGTCAAAGCTGCCATTTGGCATTAGCCTCGTATAGTTCCCAAACGAGTAACGTTAACATCACCATCGCCATCACCACCATCATCATCATCAAGTTCACCAAGTTACATGTCTTTGTTGTTCATCTCAACAACTCTTGGTTTGCTTAGCAAACCATCCCCGTCCTGTGTGTTAGTGTCTCCTAGCTGCATATCATTGCCCTCACGCATTGTTCACTTGCTTTGTAAGTCGTAACCAAGTGGCCCAGTCTCCATCAAATTAAAACCCTAAACACTTCCATAGTAGGGATGGCCCTAAAACCCTAAACACTTCCATAGTAGGGATGGCAACGGGCGGGGCAGGGGCGGGGCCTCTAAAAATTTTTCCATTCTCGCCCCATGCCTCGAACGGGGCAAAATTTCCCTACCCCAAACGAGGCATAAGCGGGGTAAATTTTTTTTATTTTTAATTTTCATCTCATTTTATCTAATTTTATTATTAAATTTTAAATTATAGCAAAAAAAATGATAATTTATATAGAAAATAAACTCTAAAAGTCACTAATTATAGATTTTATATGAGGTATAGCTATAATTTTAATGAAAAAAGAAATGAAGCAAACGAGACGGGGCGAGCAAATCCCATCTCCGCTCGCAGTGCGCCCCACCCCACCTCGTTCCTCGGTCAACACGGAAAATCCTCGCGTTGATAGGGGAAAATTAACACGGGGCGGGGCGGGGCGGGGCAAATTGTCATCCCTATTCCATAGGGCTCAAGACTTTGGTCGATGACTCAATTTCAGCAGAGAGGGATCCAATCTGAGCCATTGAAACTTTGAACTGCCATGCAAGCTTGTATTTGCGAATTGCAGATGGTCAATCAACTCTATCTTTTTTATGCAGTTTAATGACCAAAAGGCCTTTTCTTTTTCTTCTTTTCATGCGGGTTAAAATCTCTAACTAGCCTTTAATAAATAAGGAAGAACAACTGTTTCCTAAAATAACAATAACCCACTTTTTCCTTTTTCATCAGAAGAAAAAACGAAAAAACTCTTCGTTTTTACCATTTTCAATTTGTCCATAGACGTAGCTCTCAAGAAATTGTTACAGAAATAGTTAATTTTGAGCTTACAAATGGAAACATTTTGTATCAAAAGCAGTTAGGTGAGATTTGGAGAAAATACTTGGGTGGCATAATTAATTAGGCTCGTTGACCTCCCTTTTAAAAGAAGAAATTTCCTTCCCTCTCAAGAAAATATTTGAATGCTATATATTTAGCCTAACCAAGATGCTTAACTGCTTCAGTGGTGAAGCATACTTTCTTAGCCAGAGACAGACACTCTTACAAAATCTTGGAAATATTGAGAGCTCAGTCTTTTCTTCTTGGAGGTTATTCAGCTTTTTTATGCTAATTAGGAATATGGAAACCTCTCCATCCATCAATCTCTTCACTGATTTCTTGAAGAACCATGGATATGCGTATCGAGCTTTCCTCCGAGAATTCAACAGGTACCAAGAAGGGCACAAGAGCAAACATGACCTCTACTGTGACATGGTTGTTCTTGTTCATCAAAACAAGGATTTTCTAACAGAACTCAGAAGAGTATTGATAGATTCTACATCAAATACTGATGCTGCTACTGCTTAGAATTGTTGTTAGCACAGGACACAAATGTTTAACCTTTTCGTTTCCCATCCCTTTTATTGTCTTAATTATAATACTGGTTTAACGAATAATTGCTAAAGACTCTACAATATATCAGTTAAAGCTCTTCATGTTTGAAGCAATCATCAAGTTTTCTTCTTTCTTAGCACTCTCTTTTATGCTCGTTGCCTCTTATTTGCTCCTCAAATTACTCTTGTGTAGGATATATCTTTTTCCTTTGAGGTGTTAATTTTATCTTTCTTGTGTGGAAAATTCAACTTGTTGATCAATACAATTTTAAGATCTCCTGTTAAATTTTTTGGTTCCATTAATCTCTCTTGTAAACGACTAATAAAGGAGAGATCACGAAAATCCCACATGAAAAATGAAAACTTTTTGAACAAAATTCAAGATGGGATAGAGGGCGATTTGTTACTTTTTTTTTTTCATTCTTTTTTGGGTTTTTCCCATTTAAATCCTCCGCTTGTCTATTTTTTTTAATTGAGTTTTTCTTTTTAATTTGATTGAAACCTTCAATTCTTGGAGATTTCTTGCTTCATTATAATGCCAACAATCAACAATCGACACATCACATTTATTTTATGATATTTCTTAATTTATAATGCCTCATGCCGATCATCAAGATTTTTTAATTTACATCGTCACGTGTTTATCATTGTCTAAAGTAAGAAATTTCGAAAAATAAAAGGTCTCAATAAAAAAAAATTCAAAAAATACAGTCTAAATGTGGAAAAAAACCTCTTTTTTTTTTACACGTTTTTTTTTTTTATTGTTGAGACACGAGAATTGGTACTATTTTAGTAGAGCTATTGGACCTCAAAAAGTAAAATTAATGATAAAATCTTCCTTAGGATTCTGCTTGCATTATTGCATAGAATTCCTGCTTAAGCAGGATACTTTGTGAGCAGTAAAACTCCCTCTCCTATCAGAATTCTATTTGCATGCATATCCCTCTCCAATAGGGACCAAAAGAACAACATATACTACTATATATTAGGCATAACAAAAAGTATATATTGTAGCAAATTGCGATCAAGAGGGAACAATTAGGTCTTGATTCTTGGATTCTAGGGAACATGGAGGTAGCTCCACTTTTTCTCAGTTTTTTCAAGAGACGCTCACAGGATCTTCTCCATGGATTAAAATTATATATAGAAGGGCAGAAGAGCAAACATGACCTCTACTGTGACATGGCTGATCTTCTTCACGAGTATCAAGATAAGGTTGAAGAATTCGAAAGAGAAGATGAAGCGAAAGCGAGTCCTTCTGCTCTTTTGTTTGTCAGCATATTTAAGAGCAGCTTAAAAGGTTTCCTCCATGGATTCAAATTGTACAGAGAAGGGCACAAGAGCAAGCATGACCTCAATTGTGACATGCTTGATCTTCTTCGCAACTTACAAGATTTGGTTGCAGAATTCGCAAGCATTTTAGCAGATGATGAAGAGGAAGATCACTAGCGGTCTTCCTGTCATTACGCAATCCTTGACGATTCTTTGTTATCTCTTTGGTTTGAAGGACTTGTCAATTTCCTGGTTAATTGTTACGAATTTGATTTGCATAGAATTATTTCGCCAAGGCTAGTCTTATATATGTTTGCATGGATTTTTTTTTTTGTTTTCCGTGCATTTTTTCTTGACCCATATACGCTGTGAACGATGAAGTCTATAGAAAATTATGGGGTTTTTTTTTCTGCATTTAGGTTATTTTGAATTTTTTTTTATTGAAACTCTTTATTTTTTTTCTGACTTAATTTAAACTCTCTATGTTTAAAAATTTCTCGTTTTTGACTTTTTTTTTTATATATAATTCCATTTATCAATTATCGATATTTTTTCGAGATGAAACAATAAATCTTGAAGAATTTAAAATTTTTTGAAGAATATAGGATCTAAACGTGGGGAAAATCCGAAAATTATGGTTATGAAAAGGTTAGACAATTTCATTGCTATTTAATTATATAACTCCTCACCTTCTGATAAAGAGAGTTCAGCTTAGATAATGCATATGCCGAGGATGGTTAAATTATTAGGAAGAAAGGGGGAGAGGAGAATGATCCAAAACAAAACAGAAAATACCAATCTTAATAATTATATTCAACTCAAAAGTAAAATCACTCAAAGTCATTCTATGATCCATTCCCTTAATTGCAAACCAAGATCAGAACAAGTAAAAAGAAACAACCAAATAGTTTAAGCGTAAATTAAATAACGTATATACTATTAATGGGTTTGGACTCTAAATTATTAATTTTTGAGTAAATTTTATCCTTTTATTAAATGAAATGCTTAAAACCATGTCGTTTTAAACATTTCATTTTTTAGAATTAAAATTTGAAAAAAAAATAATAGTTATTTTTAAAAAGAATAAATATATCAATTTATCCTTATATAATACTCAACATCTCATATCTGCCTCTTAGATTATTAATTGCATCCAATTTTTTTTTGAAATTTTTTTAAATGTTTAATATATTTTTTCGTTCATATAATTTTTTTTATCGAAATTCCCTTTACTAAAATTTCAAAAAAAAAAAAACACTCAAATTCACATGACCTACATATTTTATTTTTGAAGTCTTTAATTTTTTTTTTTTTTGCTTGTCAATTAGAAGTATTTCGGTTAAAAAAATTATTTCACCAAAAAAATTGATCGAAGGACGAGATGTGTATATTTATTCTTTAAAAAAGTTTAAACAATTTTATTGTTTATAAATCTGACTTTTATTTTTGAATAACTAATTATGTGTAATGAATTCATTTAAAAAAACTAAATTGTTAATTTTAATTCAAATTGATAATATTTCGCTCACTTTTTAGAAAAAAGATATGAAACACCGATTAAGTGTGTTTGATTTAAAAGTGAGCAATAATAATATCTATTTTGAGTTTTTCTCGGGTTTGGATTCTGTTCTTTTTGAAACTTTTTGTTTCATATCTTTTATTATAATACCACCAATCAATAATAAATATATGATATTATATGGTAAAAAATTTGAAAGAATAAAGATGGTGTGTGAATCATTAATTGGTAGCGTTATAATGAAGGATCTAAAACAAAAAATTTTAAAAAAGTTAAATGTTTCAATCAAACTAAAAAATAAAAATAGAAGTTTCGATTAAAAAATTTGAAGAGTATATAATCTAAATGTGAGAAAAAAAACCTATCTATCTTTAAAAGCAGCAGAATTTTTGGAGTTGTGAAGGTATTTGAGAGCAGTATTTGGCTAAAATTCAGATCAAAGTGCATTTGTATTGGAATTGTTAAAGAAAGCACATATTACATAAAAATTACACTATTTCTTCAAAAAAAAAAATATTTCCAAAAACCCAAGGCTCCAAAACGTTTGAGTGTGAAGCAATCTACATGGTCCATACTCATAACTTTACTTTCCAAACACTTAACTTTTTTAGCATAAATTTAAAAGGCTTTAAAGTGGTTTTTTTTTTAAAAAAAAAGTTTTCATATATTTAACCATAAAAGCTAGAATTATGAAATAAAGTTTTAGAACTTTTTAAAATAGATCGAATATAATATCATATTAAAAAACTAAATAGCATATTATTAATCACTTTCTCCATATCGTTTTATAGCCACAACCACCGCAACTACTATAATTACAGTTGGAAGGACTATGATGATAACAGCTGGAGTTAGGCCAAAAAACATTTAAAATTAGGTTAGACATTTCAAAAACTTTTGTACATATAGAAAATAGACAAATTAAAAAAGATGGTAGTTCTAAGTCATATTTAATATTCTATTTTTATTATTCTTAATATTTTAAAAATTTTATTTTAAAAATATTTGAATTTTGTATTTGAGAATATCCCTTACCTAGGCTCAATAAAAAAAAAAATTAATATCGAAATATGCGACTCACTCGAGAATACTCTTATTTTTTAACCTGAAAAACAAAATTAGAAAAAAGAAGAATTAACAATTTTAAAAGGGTATTCTTGTCTTCTTATACATTGCCTCTTCCAAGCAAAAATTTCTACCTCCATCCCTGCTTCTCAATCTGGAAAAAAATCTATTGTACTTTTGATTTTCTAAATTTCTAATAAATATTAAGCAAATTAAAAAGGGGGGAAAAAAAGAGAGAAGAAAAGAGTAAAAATGGTTAATCCAATAATAGACAGTCTACCTGTAAAATGAAATGACCAAAAACCTCAATCTATGTTTTCCCTTTCCATTTTTCTGCTGCTGTCTTTTTGCAACCATCTTCATCCTCTGTAAAACCTAAAGAAGGAGAAAACCCGTTTCTATTTTAACTTCAAAGAGAGAAAGCAGAATAATTTTGCAAAAACCCATTTCTACTTTCCATTTGTATCGTGTCTTCAACTTTCTTCATTTGTTAGTTTTCGACTAAAGCCATTCATTCAAGATTACTACCATTCTTTAAAGGCGCAACCTTTAAGCTTTTTTATGTGAACTTTTTATTGGGTTTATTTAGTTTCAATAAATGGGATCAAGTTTTCATGAATGGGAATCCGACCCTTTATTCTCAGCTGCTGAAGTGGTTCAAGACTCAGCTGACAGGTTAGATTTCTCAATTAATTGTCAGTTTTCCTTGTTTTTCTATTTGAAGTTGAGAACTTTGGCTTGATTTTTGTGCGTGCTTGATTAGGGGGCAAACGAAAATATTTCATTTTTATTGATTATTTAGCTGTTTTTGAAGGATTCAGTTTCTGGGGTCTTTTTTTTGGCTTGCTAGTTTTGTTTTTTAGCTTGAATTTTTGTTTACTTCATTCTTAGTACATTATGTTCTCCAAGGTTAGCTTTGGCTTTTATTGCTATTTCAAAGCATATTGTGGTCATATTACTATTATCCAGACAAAATTAGAATAACCTTTTTGGCTGCATTTCATTGATTATAAAATTTACAATTGAGGTGCTGCCACTGTTAGGCTCTGGTTCGGGGTCAAATTATTTTCTTATCTTGTATTAACATTTGAAGATTCATTAGTAGTATAGATTTCACTACTGCTGTATTTAATGTTTAGGATGGAATCGCTTTTTCGTCTTCTATTGCATCAGCAAAGTCTTATTCAAAGCGAACATCCTGACCCAAGATTGCTTTCGTCGATAGAATATCATAAGCGTGATCTTGTAACTATACTTGGAACTGCAAAATGGCAGGTATTTGCTGATTTTGAAGCTTGCTTTTCAATTTGGAGTTTTAGTTGCCTGATTCTGGTTTTTTCCCCTAACAGTTGGAGGATTTTGAAAGAGCTGTTAACTCATCGATCATAGTGGACAAGACTCAAACCAGAGAAGATGTGATTTCCAGACATAGGCAGTTTATTATTGCCATCAGGGAACATATAAATGAAGTGGAGAAAAGTGTAAAGGGACCTTCAATGGGGGATTCCATGAGAAACTCTGAATGGGTTAATTTAAATGACCAAGACAGAGATATGTTGGCATCATTTCTTACTGGAGCAAATCCCACTGAACATTTAAATCGTTTGGAAATCGAAGAAAGTAGCATTTTTGGAAGATTCCTTGATCCAAACTCGGGTCCTAGTTTAAAAGATAATGAAATTGTTGAGCATGACAGCAGAGAATTTGAGAGGGTAAAAATGAATGGAGTTGGGCACGTTGATCATTATCTTGACTCTGCGAAAGAGGATAAAAGAAATGTTGGTTCGCATTACTCCACCAGATCAGGCTCAAGTATGATGAACTCTCTGCAAGAGATCCCTCATGACATGCATGGTGGTAGTGATCACTGGGACCTAGAAGCTAATGAAGCCAAATCTAGGAGCTTCTTCCATGAGATCAAGTCAAGAGGGATCTACAGCATTATGATCGTCTTTGGTTTCTTGAGCAATCTATGGACTACTCATAGGAACAGATTTGTGGGGAACCATACAAAGAGGTTGAAAGATGGAGAAGAAAATAGGCATTCGCCTACCTATGCTGAATCATATCATTCTGCACAGGTACTTGGATGATCCACGTTAATGCTGCTCTTAACTAAAATTTATTTTCCAGAAAGTGTTTTTATAGCCTTTTTTCTGGTAAAGGAATCCACTTCTCAGGTAATGAAGCATGACACCTATATAAAAAGTTGTCCCGATCAAAGATTTTTCTATTTTTCATATTCATAGAGCATGCAACTTTTTATTGTTTCTTGGTGCTTTAACAGCTAGAATTTACATGCATGTCCAGAGGATGCCCTACATGTTATAAGACAAAGTCTGGTATCCTATATTTACAAGAACGTATTTAAGCATGATTGGAGAACTTGGGATGCTAGCGACAATGGCTTTTCTCTACCAGTCATGTCTAAGCTGTAGATGCTTATCAGTTTGCTTCTCTTTCACAGGGCCAGCGTCTAGGACTAATGTTAAGATCTGGATACAGAAGCCTCCAAGGAATATGCTTTAGATTGCAATCAGAAGTGATGCACCTGGGCAGCTACCTTGTGGCAAGATATGAAAGATTTCCCTTTCATTTTGAGTTTAATCGACATTCAATGAAAATGATATTGACAACAATTCTTACCCTTGTTTTTTTGGGTAAGTCAACTTTGCCTTATGAATTTCTGTTACTTTTATTTTTCCTCTAGTTTGTAACTTTTACTATTCATTTGATGTTAGCTTGCCATTATTTCCATATCAACTTGAGAAAGTTAATGCATGAAAGCTTTGTTCTCTTAAACTTTGATATGGTTCCGTAGAAGCAAAATTTGAGTGAGTTTTGATTGTGTTATCCAATAAAAGGCCACATGAGGAAGTATATCCCCTATTTACTTACGGATGTTAGATGTGATTCAGAGGTGGTAGAACATTTGACTTTTAAGAATCAACTCTGGGAGGAGATAATCGAGGAACTTGATTAGTCTCTTCTTTAACCATAATTTGCTTTGCATTTTTAAATCAAGGATGCTTGAACTAGCAGATTTCTTTTAAGTTGAGCAAGCAGAAATTTGATTTCATTATGAAAGATTTCATTATTTGTAAGCAAGGTTAAAGTAGGTTCTACTTGTATTTATCCAATAAAATGCCATGTCAGATCATGATGTCCCCTTATATATGCTAGATGTACCACAGAGGTGATGGAACAATGTCGATGTTTAACAATTGATTTTTTGTGGATAAAATATAAAGCTACAGTGGTTGCCTTCTCTAGCATGAGTTGCTTTGAGTTTCCTAGAACAGGAGACGGCTTCTACCTGAAATGGTGGAAATTCAAAGTACTTAATGATTGCTATGTTGGAACATTTTCTCTCTGCCATAGCACATTACTATAGACATTTAGTGCAACTGCACTACACAAACATTTGGGAAGATAGGCAATCTGTAAAAATGACACGATTCTTGTGAAATTAATTTACCTGAAATTACGCTATTGTTGCAGGTATATTGGTGTCTAGAATTGCCTGAAGACGGTCATTTGCCGCTAAAGTCTGCAAACAGTTAAATGTCCTGACTGCCAAATTTTGCTTGCTTGCAAATACCATTTTATGTCTTGCCGGCGGAAATGTGTAACTGCTAATGAATGTTGCAAAGGTGAATTTCCTGGTAATGTCATGACAATAGGTTTACGCTGGTTTTTTTTATTGTGCTGTTTCTGATCTTGGATTAGCATTGCATGGTAGCATTGTGGCATTGGTGAGTGGCAAAAGATGTGCATTTAATTTGTAAAGTTACATCAGTAAGCTAAGGCTTTCTTTACCTACGTACATGTTCTTTGCGAGTGAAAAAAGATTTTGGTCGTATCTTCACTCTTTCACCCCCACTATTGGCCTAAGAATCTTTCATCCTCCAAATTACATATCGGAACTCCCACGCAACTGACTGTTTATGATTGGAGCTATTCTTGGACAAATGCAATATTATGAAATGAAATTATTTCGTTTGTTATTCCCAATATTTATATTGAGGGTAACAATAGCTAGGATGTGAACCACACGATGAAAGGCAATCTGCACTCCAGATCAATCACTATGCTGTAACTAGAATAATCAGACAATACTATAAAGTATTGTGATCATAGTTTTAAATCACAAACGTAATTAAAAAAACAATCGCGGTTGCAACTTACTATAATAGTAAAATAATAGTTTATATAATGTTGAATAATGGTAACGGGATGTTTAGAAATTGTTATATAATTATCGTTATATTATGTAATGACCGTACATTAAATCTATGATTGTGAGAAAATATTAAAAAAAAAATGGATTAGTCTGCTTATGGGAAAAGCTAGAAACTTACAATAACACGAGAGAGATGATCACGAGCAAGTAAAGCAAACGAGGTTAAAGTTTGCACGTGCTTTTAGAGCATAGAATCCTTTGCTTTTGGAGGGAGCTATGCGGATCATAAGTTGCTTCTCCAGCGCAAGTTCAAAACCAACTTCTTGTGCACTTCATAGTTTTCGTAGATATAAGTAGGGTTAAGCCTCAGAGTGTCTTTATGGAGATGTGCTAGGTACACAATTGCTCGAGTATTTTAATAGAATGAGATTCACAAATCCCAAAAACCGGTCCCTTTCATAGCAATTACGGTGGGATTGGATGGTTTTCCACCATCTGCCTCTACAAGTTTTCAAAGCAACTCCTATTCCATATCTCTATTGAGGGTTCCTTGTCTTTCAATTTGTATTTACAAATTTTCAAGTTCAAAACTTCTTGTGCACTTCATCGTTCTCAATCACATAGATATCAGTAGGGTTAAGCATCAGATTGTCTTATGGAGATGTGCTATGGACCCAATTGCTCAAGTATTTGAATAGAATGAGATTCACAAATCCCAAAAACTGATCCCTTTCATGGCAATTATGGTGGGATTGGATGGTTTTCCACCATCTGCCTCTACAAGTTTTCAAAGCAACTTATATTCCATATCTCTATTGAGGATTCCTTGTCTTTCAATTTGTATTTGGTTATTTTGCCCTTTGTGATAATATCTTATTTAATTCAGAACAATAAAATATGTACATCTATGTAAACACGAGCCTCGTTAATGGTTACCCAAGAATCTTATCTTGGGAAAAATGTTACTACTAAAGAACACAGCAACTATAGTACATGTTGCCATCCTGCTGCAATGCCAGGAGAATCTAGATCTTTGCTCATACAATTGCAAACGTCACCACTGACAACATTGAGCTTCCAATTGCCTTCCACCGTCAATCCAAAAAAAAAGACTTCCACTTCGAGCCTGTGCAAGGCAGAGGCACTTTTTATGCAATCTGAGAATACTGCAAGCTGAAGCCCTGGAAACGTGAATACTTTCGGTGCTTAGCAAAAGCATAAAGGCATTTTTCTCCAAGATTCGTTACTTAACATTGTTAGCAACATACAGACTCAGTGCCCTGGTAATAAAACACATGCCAAGAAACCAACTTGTGTAAATACTGAGTTATTAGGATAATCGAGTATTTTTCGTGCTAGGGGGATTCTTCATTATACTCAAATTCATGCACAAGTCATTTATCCAAAAGAAAAACTAAATTGCAAAATCACAGCCTTAAAAAAAAAAGAAAAAGAAAAAAAAAGAAGATATGCCCTCCCTTTGATTTTAGAAGCTTGATTTCCATACACAACCTCTCATATTTTTATTTAGCCTCTTCAATTAATCCCATCCAAATTTGTGTCAGCGAAACATGCTATTTATAGTTTGTATGTTCACTAATTAGATTTAAAGAACTTGGAAAAAATGTCATTAAATGCCTTGAGATGAGACCAAAGGTAGAAGAAACATGTAAAAATTTACCGAAAAATGGCCCATTCTCAATCTGACTTCTCAATCTCTCGGAATTTCCGATCCCATTCTTGAGCCTCAACATCTTGCTCTATTATGTCCTTATCAGTGCTATAGACGATGCGATCCTGCCCTATGACTGTTTTTTGGGCCATATCCCGAGCACTGAGAAGCTGGCAGGCAGCAAGATGAAGAGAATTATTTCCCAACGGATTTCATGTAAACTAAACAAGTATGTTGTACAAATAGCAGCAAATCTGTCCTCAAGTATTTTGTAACAAAATCATCAGAGAATTCCAACACTCAATTATTGGAAGGAAGTTGAATAAACAAGCTCCTGCAAGAATTTAGCATGATATCATAGAAATGGCAATAATTGCCAAAGGATGAGAAACCTAAATATCAAGGTCAAAGTAATCACAAGCAATTTTTACAAGTCACGCATTTTGATGATATGATGCTAGAGACCAGGCCATTTTCCTTTCACTTGCATAAATCAAAATATAATATTTCATAATTGATTAATTTTAATATGATGAAACAACTAGCTATATGGCATGCAAGAAGAGCTAAACTGCAGAACTGTCATTTGTTACCAAAAAGAGGTTCTAATTCATATTTGCTAACCAAAAATGACATTGTTTTTTTTTCTGAATGTTGTTATCTTAACTAGGGGAATCAAAGGTGGACCAGAGTGTTGGGACTTTTCAAGCACCACATACTAATAATGTTGATCCAACAGATAACATAACATTGAAGACACTAGAAAAGGAGAAAGGATGTCAAATAAAAACATGCCACTAGATTGAAGAGATCTAATGCTTCAGAAACCAGCTGACACCTTGGCAGTTAAAGCGCAAAGGGTTCTTATTGTTGGATAAGTTGAGGATTGATTACATGAAGACTAAAGTCATATCATGACAAAGGATTAGAAACTAGGGTCTCTGGACATTTGGTCTTTCTATTGTTCACAACAGAAAATTGCTAAATCACCCAATGAAAAAGCATAAGTTTTAAGTTTGAAATAGCATTCACAATTAACTACAAATGCAAAAGTGCAGCATAAAAAAAAATATTTCAAGTGGCTACCTTCCGCCTCAGTGAAAGATCAGGTAACTCAAGCATTCGAGCACATTGCTCCCTTGCTCTATTTCTCTTTTCTATTTCAGCATTCCTTTGGAGAACGAAGAACCAGCGGATCAATGGAATTGCAAAGAAAGAACCAGCATATATCTGCAAGTTATATTGTTGGTAACTATTAAGACAAAAGGGGGCTAAGCGTAATCAATAATATTGAAGCACCAAGAACCCAATCTTTCTACCATATATTGGATAGAGTAAATCAAGAACTCCAAGATACTAGAATCTCTAAGATACTAGAATCATTATCATCAAGTATTGAAAATACCAAAAACCTAACATTTCAACCTTATAGTGGAATAGAGTCAACGCTAAGACAAATAGATTTAGAAATCATCAGGATGATAAAGCTTAGTTTTTGCAAGTCTTTGGAAGATCAGTTAGCAAGCAAACCAACATCAAAGCTGAAGACTAGAGCCATTGTTAAGTTCTTATAACAGGTTAGAGAGAATTTGCAATACTGCATCTTTCTATACCAATTATACCTCAATTTATAGCCAACAAAATCATTTTGCATAGAAGTGTGCAAAATAATAAGAGGACTGAATAGCACAGAAATTATGGCTTGAAAATCAATCCGTAAGAAAACAATCAATGAATACTCCGGGCGTAAGATAAACTGAACATGCATTTTTTCAACTGTCAGGCATGCTTTGTGACCCTAACTAGTTCTGTGGTTTATCAAATTTAAGGAGCAGCTTCACAATGATGCCAGTCAGCATCAGTATTATAGTTTTAGACAATATATACTACTAATTGTAATTGGAAATAAACTGCAATTTACTTATTTTCAAAGAAACATTAAAAAATACCTGAAGTAGAGGAAATATGCTAGAAACAAATTTAATGAATCCTCCACTCTGTGTGACAGCCATGTCCCTTCAAATCAAGAGATAAGTGGAGACATTAGAGAGATGAAACGTAAAAACACCACGAAAACATCAATTCTCAAGAAACCATACTGTAACATCGTTCCAAGAATGATCACTCCAAATAGATTAAGCCCGCCCAACCCAATGGCCATTGCTCTCTCTGATGCACTTGTTTTACTGCAAAAGAAAAATTACCACATCAAGGAACTTAATCACCCAAACCAGATTTATGTGGCATGAATTAGCAAATGAAGAACCTGAATTGCCACGTTTTCTCTGTGAAAAACTTCCCAACCCCTCCAACCCAATCTGCCCATCGTTTCCCCACATATTCCTTCCTCCCACTCCTTTTAGAAGAAGCTGTACGCTGAAGTGAAGGAAATCGATACAGAATATTTCCCTACATGATAAGCAGTTTGGATAAAACTGTAGGTGGAATCTTCTCAAACTAGATATGACCATGTACAAAAATCCCACCCTTTTATAACAATACGTTCTTTGAACATGGATATCAATGCTATGCATACATCTAAAACAACAACTTTCATCATTGCCATATTCATTGATATAATATGAAATATCAACATTAATGGACTCTTCTATTTAATAAATCATCACATTAGTTTTAATACCTCTTCATCAATTTCTGGCTGACCATCAAACCGTAGAAGAACTGGTAAGATGTATGATTCGTCACTCTGAACACAACAAGAAAAAAAGGTCATATAGCCAAACTGGAAAAAGGCAAACAACATAGATGCAGGGTAGAAAGTAGAAACTAAACTAGTTCAATCTTCAAAAGGTGAATTAAATATGTGATCAAACATCAGAATTCCATATACATTCTGACATAAAATTCTGAATGAAATCCAGAGGATTTTTTCTAATAGAATTACACAGCCAAGGGAGGGGAGGAGCTAAAAATGAGCACACATCAGTCTTTGACGAAATAATTTTTTTTTTTATAAACTCACTTCTAATATTCTACTACTTTAATTTTATTTATCCCCTTTTTTTTTCTGGGAGGGGATGACATTGGGCATCATATGCAATCATCTGCTAAAAGCCCCAACCCCCTCCCTGCAGTCTATCTCCTCCCATCTCTCAACTCTCACTTTTTTTTTAATCTCTGTTTCACAGTGATTTGACAATGAAATTGAAAGGGTGGTGATGATAATGGAAATCCCCCTGGGTTGATGAAGTGTTGGAATTTGAATTTGATTCAGCTATTTCAGAGATTTTACCATTTTTTATGTAATTTCACGGCTGTAATTTCACTTTTGTAATACATAAATTATTTTTAGACATCATCGAGTAAATTCTAAACAAGTAACATGAGTTGTTTTGAAACCCAGAATCCAATTTACTTCACAACCTTATTGGTTTTGATTTATAATCAGAAATACACTTTCAAATTGTGTATATTTTAGGAAAAATACTTCAATTTATCCTCAAATAATCAGGCAAGTCTCCAATGTGTCCCTACATTTCTAATTGTATCTATTATGGCCTTGCATAGTATCCAATTCTCCAAAAAGTTATTCAATCAAATTTTTTTTTTTTTTTACTAAGATAGACAAAATTATACTTTTCATTCCAAAATTTCCCTTGAGTTATATAAGAAAATAATAGAAAATTTTCTCAAATTTGCTCAAAAAGTTTCAAGATTACTCGACCATCAATTTTTTTTAATAATATTTAGCTTTTTCTTCAAAAAATCTAAATTATGTTCTTATATATAGCTTAATAGTAGTTTTATAATGAAAAACATAATTATGTCGATTTGGATAGGAAAACTTGATATAAGGCCATATTGGAAAATTATATATTATACAGAGACATAACAAACACAATTAGAAACATAAAGACCAATTGGAGACTTGACCAATTATATAAGAATAGATTGAGCCATTTACCCTTTAAACTGTTTGTTAGTCCCATAATTTCTGTAGAGCACATTCCATAAAAAATTACACTGTTAAAAAGATGGTTGGTTTTTATATTTTTTATTTGTTTAAAAATTTCCCTTCTCAAAAACAATAAAATGACATGGCAATGATGTTGTCAAAACAACTACTTTAGACTAGACTTTAGTGAATAATTATAAAACAATAAGGATATAAACTCCACATCCACATAAAAACAAGCACCTCGAGTGTTATCAACTGTAAAGATTTCAAATAATGACAATGAAAAGCATCCCAGGTGGTTGAAAGATCCATTGGGTATAAAAAGCGGGAAATATAAGCAGAAAAACAAGATGTTACTCTCCATGAAACAAAGATCGAATAATGACACCAAAGCTATGCATGCTTCTCAAGGGAAAATGGTTGGAGTTGGGAAGTTGAGATTGCAATCAGCATACAAGGCTATTTCTGGTTCTTTCCTAACTTCCGAACAGATAAGCACCTAGTTCGTAAACTTCCAGCTGATAATGGCCAATCCGGTTATTAATATGAGAGAAAGTAATCATTGGGAATTCAAGAACAGAAAACAAGTTTAACAACTAAAGATGACAAACTAAATTATCATGACAAGGTAGATAAAATAAACATATATGCGCATACCATATCCTCTGTAGTTTTCAAATCAAGAAATGGTGCTAGTTCTTCAGCGGCGACAACACCACCATTAGAGGAAATATATTGCCCAATCTGCAAATGTATTCCAGAACAAAACAATATCAGTAAATTCCCACATTGATTTATTGTCTTCCATAAGAATGAACCATTAAGACCGTGTTACTAGTTCAAAGACCACAAGGAGAATGATCCTACAAAAAAAAAAAAAAAAAAACAGATTACTACCATCAACCAAAGAAATTGCAAATAATGTACCATCCCTCCAAACCTGTTCTTTCTTGAAGATGACACATAAAACAACATTTCTAATCCTCATCCACATCAAACTTGTATTCAAACATTAGTGTGAACACTCACATGTAAACCTTGGCCAAAAATGATTGTGATTAATATAAGTCAGTACCTAGAACAACATGAAACTTGCCAGGTCAATCATATGGATGTTCTACTTGAAGCACCATGTGTGCCAAAATGTCATCAAGATTCAAGACATTTGATTTAATTGATTCACACAATTAAATGAAATTTTAGAAGGGAAAAAAAGAAGGATAGATGGTCAAATTAAAGGAGCTAAATATGTATCAAGCATATGAAAGTTGTGCGAATCACAAACAATAGACTTGGAAGACAGTTGAGCAATCAAAAAAACATAGCAATGATAAACGAGAAAGTTAACAGCAATTGAAGTGAAAAAGTTCCACGAATGAGATGGCAAAAAAAATGTTGAAAAGCAACGGACCACTGAACTCAGTAGTGAAGTATTACCAACTTCCACCTCTCTTCTTCAATTCCTTGATTTGGATCACCATCACCAAATACGAACGAGAATACCTAAAAGACAATAATTCATGAAATTGGTTTTCTTTCCAGGAGGTGAAAGTAATCAGTGAAGAAATCAGACATGAAGCAATTTTTTCAATTACAGATTCGATAAAGTTCATATTGTCACCACCATCTGTTCTTAGTTGCCGTCTCCTATAGTAATATGGATCCCAGTACCTAACAAGAAATAAGGGGGAAACGATTTAGCTGAAGTGTCTTCTTTACATAGATAAAAGAAAGTACCATATACATTTAACAATTAAATGGCAGCATAGAATTTAGAGAATAAAACAATAATTCTTCCAACATTCAATTAGCTATGACAGACACATTATCGCTAGTTTTGGATTGGCCAAAATTACAATCTCGAAAGAGATGGTTGTAAACCATGATGCCCAACTTTAAACTGAGTAAACTGATTCCTGACTGACTCCCATTCCACAAATACTATGAAAAAAGAAGTCAGAATTATGCCAATTCAGAGAGCATACCAAAATAAATCGGTAGGACTAAAGAAAAAGGTAAATCCTGTATCAAAGGATCTGCTTCTTCGTCTTCCACGATCGTTTTCATCACTGTCACCAAGAGTTCAACTGTCACTGCCTTTGCCATCAAAGAAAGCTACTAATATATCTTTAATATATAACAAAATTTTCAACTTAAAGTGTAAGAGTCAAAAAGTACCGACTACTTGAAAGAATAGCAATTATTGTGGTATAAACAATAACTATTGAAGCAATTAAAGCCGTCCCAAAAGAAACCCTGATGAGATACTCAGCTGCAGCCTGTTATGGATACAAAGCAGCACAGGCCTAAGTACAGGATATTAGATTAGTATTCTTTCTTTTATTAAATATCAATTCTGAACAAAAGGTGAAAGGGATCAATACCTTTCCCTTCTCAAATACGGGTTCAAATTTTAGCCTTAATGACTTTGCAACAAGCTTTGAGCGATAATCCTTTGGAAAAACATAAAGCACATCACCTTCATCTGAAACCTGTTGAGACCATCTTGAAAACAATTGCACTCACGAAATCAAGAACTTCAAAAAGGGTAGGCATAAAAGTAAAAACCAACTAACGAAAAATAGTAACGAGAAAAATCAATACTTTCAAACTGGGATTCCTGCTTTCTGTTTTTTTACAATCTTGACCTCCACTCCGTTAATGTTTGTTTTCTGTATAGTTCCTAAGGTGTCTAGGCAATCTGCCACAGAATCTAATCATTAATGAAGAAAGGCAATGGCTGACCTAGTACAGGAATTACTCATTTCAAACTAAAACTACGTAAACCCACCAGATAATAAACCACATCCATAGCTCTACAACTGTCAAGCATATACAAAAACATTTGCACATAAGCACAATGTATAGATATGAAATGTACATCTTCTGCATACTAACCTGACCTCAGTCCCGTGAATCAGTAGCATATTCTAGTTATACTCACATCCAACAATCCTTGATTCAAATTTTCTTATTTAACTTTGGACTCAACAAAAAATTATAACACTAAAAGTTGTTTGACTTCAATCCATTTGTTACTTAGACATTGTAGAGGTAGTTTGTCTAATCCAATGCCATCGCTGCTCTTTCGCGAGTGGGTTTTACAACCATTGCCACTTCAACTTGCTAGAAAAAGTTGCAACCGAGGTGACAGATTTTTGCAACATTATCGACCGGATATTGCAGTGTTTCTCAAGCAAGAATTGTAAAAGCCAGCACGCAAAACAATCGCAATTCCATTGAAAACACAAGCATTCAAGACCTAACTAACTCTTAAAGCAACTGTCTTTATTATTACTCAAAGAAGAAAAAAATCAAAGTGTTTTTTTTTAATACCTCTAAAAACCCATCAGTATCAGAAGCAAGAGCTTGAAGGGCTTTTTGAGATTCATTCAACTTAAGCCCAGCTTTACTAGCAACATCACCAATGGTAACCCTACCACCACACGCATCAACAGCTTCCATGGCTCGGTTTCTCACATCAGAAGGTAACTTATCGGTCTCCACAACACCTCCAGGCCTAATTCCCATGGTTTTTGCAACATCAGCAGTTGCTTTGACAGAAAAACTAATGGGGGTCTTAGAGCTTGGAGATTTGAAGGAAAGTTTAGGGAGTGTTTGGGTTTTGAGGAGGAAGGAATCGGGTGGTTTGAGACGGATTGGTGGTTTTGAATTGAAAATTGAAGGGGAATATAAAAGGCGGGTGGATATTGAAGCCATTTCTTGTGTGCGGATAAGGAAGGAAAAAAGAGTGGATGTTTGCGCTGCTAATGGCGAGGAGCGCTGTAGGCTGAGGAGGGAGTGAGGGTGTACTACGAGAGAGAGAGAGAGAGGAGACGATGATGTTGGGCTTTTCTAAGGAGGAAAAAACGGGAAGGCAAATGAAACTGCTCAAGATAAAAAATATGTGCAAAATCTCAAGTTAGTCCCCATGTTATAACTCAAATTTTAATTGAGTACTGAGAGAATTTTTATTCTCCCACAAGATTAGAAGATTCAATATTGATTCAATTAGTTCTTTAAGATGGTTGCTAGTTAGATACTCACACTACGCTTCAGTCGGACAATCATTATGTTGGATTAACGATTCATATGGTATAATATGAATAAAAGTTTTGTTTCGATGATTAGTATAAATCGAATCTATATATTGAACAAAATTGCTTAATTTATATATATCTATTCACAAAATGATTAATAATATTACCATAAAAATTTATATTTGAATAATTGAAAGGTGATTTCAAAATATTATTTAAATTATTTTATTTAAAAATACAAATTTTATAACATAAAAAAAATAAATAATAAATAATTAGTATTATGTGTTTTGATATCTATATATCATATTTAGTTAGTTGTTAGATTCGAATAAAGTCTCGATCCGACTAATTTATCTTCATAATATTTACTACTTATTGCTATTTATTATTACTTTTTTTGACTTTTTAATGGTAATAATAGCTTTCTTACTCACTCATTACCGCTCTCCCCCACTTTCTTTTCTTTCTCACCCACTCACCAATCGATCGACTAGCTAACTTACTTGTTTGGAACATCAATTATCAATCATGAGTTTGAGTTTTAGTTCGAAGTTAAACAACTCTGTTTTGTTTTGAGATAACAAAAGAGATTGGGACCATAGTTTTAAATAACTTCCGTTACGTTATATAACGATCATTATATAACGGTTTCGGAGCATCTCGTTATCGTTATTTTAGTATTATGGTAAGTCGCGATCCGTGATGATAATCGCGATTGTTTTTTCACCCGTCCGTTATTTAAAACTATGATTTGGGACTTGTTTTGACTCGAGTGAGACATATGGTTTGAAGTAAATTGATGGAATCTAACATGTTTCATAGGTTTAAGACTCGATTGATAATAAAGTAAATACATTAATTAAACAATTGGGGTATGAACCGAGGAATTTCTATCTTTCCCTTTACGGATCGAGGCAAAGCTCGGGTTGGGATGGTCGATTGAATTCCAAGCAAAGCAAAGCAGAAACGCTCCTCCTCGCCCTGCACCTCCCTTGTTTCATCATCATCATCGGTTTTGAATTCCTTACTCACCCATCCCTCTAATCTCAAACACATCCACTAGACACATGCCTTCATGTTTCTCGAGCCCTCGATACATACAACCTCCTCCTTAGTCGATTTATTCATACCGCTTCTTCTCTCGACTTCTCTTCCTATGCTTATTCTATTTTCGCCTCCATTACCCACTCCCTCGATATCTATCTTTACGGCACCATCATCGATGCTCTTCTTGCTCTCCTCCCCACTTCAAATCTTATATCTTTCTTTACAATAACATCCAACTTGTTGGGTTACGACTCAACACTTACTCATTCCCTTTCGCCCTCGAGGCCGTCACTTGATCATCATCTATCCCTACCGGAAGGCAACTTCACTCAATCCATTCGCTTTGGACATCATTCTCATCTTCACATCGTTATCGCCTTGGTCCGAATGTACTCCTCGTTTGGCTCTCCTAGCATCTTTGATGCTCACAAACGGTTTGATGAAATGAGCATGACCACTAAAGATATGGCTCTATGGAATACAATGTTTAATGGGTATGCTAAGCTTGGTGACCTTCGTAGTGCTCGAGGTTTATGAGAACGTATGCCTCGAAAAAATGTTATTCCCCGGACGAGTTCTCATTACTCGGGTATGCTCGAGTGAATCGGCCTCACAATGCCATTGTTGTGTTTCAAAGAATGCGGCTTAAGAATATGAAGCTCGATGAAATTGCCATGTTGGTTGCGCTTTCGTTTGTGCCGTTTGGATGTAATGGAGTTAAGGGAGTGGATTCATAATATCCATATTATTGCCCATCAAAAGGCGAGAAAAACCATTTTAAAAAAAAACCATACTTCGTCTACAGGTGCGGTTGAGTCTACAACGACTACGAGTAAATAAATAGTAAATCACTATTGAAATTTCTTAGTTCACTATTGAAATTTCTTAGTTCATTTAGTTTTATTGTAATTATTTATAGTCGGGATAAAGAGGATGTGATAATATGAAAGTTTCGAAAGACTAAAAAAAAGTTTAAAGGCACAGGATGTCCCTTTATTATTTTAAATGTCTTAATCATGTTCTTGTATTTTTAATTTATGTCTTCATTTGGTCCATTCGATCACTTTTTTAGGCGAGTAGAGACAATTTTTGGTTTAAGAGTAACATGATACTAACGTGTGGTGTTAATATTTTTCCCTCTCAAATTTGAATAACGAGTAAAGAATAAATGAAATGGAAAAAGAAAAACCTCAAATTGACTCTACTTAAAAAACCATGACCTTCGACTCCGTGTTCTCCCGGGAACTAATTTTTCCTAAATCCTTAAATCTAACCTAACTTTCTAGTGCCTAAAATCGAGTCAAAAAATTATCGATGATTTATCAAAGAAACATACCCAAAATCCCCAAATCATTCAAGAATCCCTTTCTCTCATACCTAAAATCGTCCTAAATTACCCTAATTTGTTTTATCTCTTCAAGCATGATTGATTGATCGAAAAGAGGCGAACATTGATCTCTTCAATTATGGCTAATCTTTAGTCCTAAACATTCATTCTTTCATTTATTTTTTTATTAATGTCGTTTTACTTCTCTTCTTCTCGCATTCTCCGACACTCAAAATGCAATTCCTTTCTTCTCGGGTTTGATTTGTTCCTCTAGTTACAACTATGTTAATAATTTATTTTATTTTAATTCTTTTAAATTTTGTATTATTTGTTTATGTGACTTATAATTAACACTCGTTGTTTTGAAATGCCACAAGAAAACGGATTCTCCAAGTTCGACCAATGAGTCAAGAACTCGAATGAATTATTTCAATCTATGTTGCAACGCCCCAAAGACCAAAGTATGATTATGAAGGAGGTCCTCATTTTGTAAGTGTGGAGAACGAGTTCCAAGATGGACATTATGGAGTGATCTTCACCCAACTATGAAGTTTTTATATTGTATAGTTCATGTTGCAAGTAGTTGGAAAAAGGATGTTGGATGTGATTTTTGTAAATGATGTGAACTATTTATATTGGGTAGAACAAAGGATGCGATTTTAGGCAAGAGAGAAAGATAAAAATAATTATTTACCGAAAATAGACAATTAATAAGAAAAAACCGGAGATTTGGTAGTGAAATTACGGAATTGAAGATGAATTGGTATTTTGAGAAGAAATAACTAGTTATGGAAATTGCAACACTTGGAGCTGAAAAGAATTATGCGTTGGAAGAGTTGGATGTTTCAAACAAAAAAAAATGAAAGAATACGAGAGATGCATATGATAAAATTGTGTTTAGATATAAATTAGGAATTTTGTTATGCCTAATGTTTATTGTGATTAGTTATGATGGTAGAGATGTAATGTTAGAGGTAGTTATTACAAACATAATTCCTTGTGCGGCTTAGCTTTGACTATTATAATTGTAACCTAATTTTGATCAAAAGGTGAATTTGTTACCTTATAATTAGTTACCTTACTTGTTTTAAACTATTTGTTTGCATTGATTAAATATGATCTAGTATTTGTTGGAAACTCGTCCAAGATTTGCTTATTGATATTGTTGTCAAAGTTTATATTCTTTTATATTTATTACATGTATGAAAGTTGAAAACATAGATGTAAGTGTTAACTATTGTTTTAATTGTGTTTGCTAGCGTAAACTTATCCAAAACTTATACCTAACTATTATTTCAAGGTGGAAATCTCTCTACAACTTACACCCAACACAAACCTCCATGAAACCTATCCAACAGATTCAACAACTTAATTAAAAACACTAGATTAAAGATAAAAGTGTAGCTAGTAACATAAATTAAAAAAAAAACATAAAAATAACACTTATAATATCACATTTGTTTGTAAAATAGCATAAATAATTCCAAAATCCTATGTAGACAACAAAATAAAATCAAACATCTTCAAGTCTATATTCCGTAGATTTTGAAGACCACCATGTCAAATACAATTTCATCTCCATCATTTCCATAAAAACCAACATCAAAACAACTAATGACCTTTAGCTATATCACAAATTCCATCATTTCTTCTTTAGTCTTTGAGGAAAAGAAATGACTTTCTCACCATTATTCTCGGCATGAAAAGAATAAAATAAAAAATAAGTCCTTGATTTAGTACATGTCAAACAAAGAAAAGAAAAATAAAATCAAAACTTACATTCCATATGGAAAAACCAATTTCTTGCTCAATGTAAAAACCATGTCCAATAACCTTCTTTTTAGAACTCATTCCTCTACCTCTAACGAGACCTTGAAGCACTTTCTCATCATTTTTTTGTTTGCTAGCATTTTAGAATAAGCATATCTAAAGTTGCAAGTCTTTGAATATAGATAAGTTAGAATTTATGTATTGGATTGGAGGTATGTATTAGATTCTATAATAGAGTTGGTTTGGATGTTGTTTTATAGATTAGGCTATTTAAAGAGATAAAATCTACTATTTTTAGAAATTTATCGTGTGTTTTATGTATATCTAAATTAAAAAGTGTGATTTGATCTTCATTTTTCTTTATGTCTTGATCTATTTTAATTCAATAAAGTAACTTAGGAGAATAATGTCACTAGTAGAAGATTGAGAAATAAATGTCGTTGTTCAAGCATGATCAAGACCTTTTTTTCTCCTTCTCATTCATGCTTGTGTTGCCTAAAACAACTTTTGAAAGTTGGCATGTAGAGTGGGCGGATTCCAAATAAGAGAAGGTTTATATTTAAAGTAGGATTTATCATGCTTTGTGAAGACTATGCTATGCGTGATTAAATAACGACGTGTAATTGATCATTCATTCATCCGAAAATTGCTTGCCGCATGTCCTTCCGTTCTATTATTGGAATATTGGACTCGTATTTTATGTTTTTTTTTTTCGAGTTTATAATTAGGTACATTTGTTTGTTTCCTTGTCTATTTGTAGATTTATTCATAAGTTGGTTCTTTTTTTTTTTTTTTTTTATAGCAAAAACGAATGGAATTCACTACTTGATAAACAAAGAAAAAGATATTACAAAAATCAACCCTTATACTAACCATTTTTTTTTTTTTGCGAGGAAAATAAAATTTCTTAATGATACTATTCTACATAATTATTCATTTTTTGATATGAAGCCAACTTTTGATTTTAATCTATGAATATTCTTCAAATAAAAAGGAATTTTTAGTCTCAATTGTCTCCGAGGTTTTAAAAAATGATCACTCTAAGTTTTACCACGTAAAGCTGTTTATTAAGATTCTTACAAAAGAGTTCTGTAATGGATTGGATATGGACGACAAAACGAAACTCAATTAACTATTTTCTAAATTTTCAAGGATTTAATCAATAAAAGAATTGTTTAAGGACTCAACTAAAATCACCTATCTAGTTAGGATGGCTTATTTGAAATTTACCTAAAAACAATTTAATGAAATTTTATGCACGAAAAGTTAAAAATTAAAGATATGGGCTGGATTTAGAGAATTATGGACCTAATAATTCAAGTTGGGTTTTCTAACTTTCTTTTAAGCTCAGCACCCGCAATGTAAACACAGCAGGTGATCAAAACTCTTGTCGCACGAACTGAGCTTTGTTAGTTCTGTCTTTGCAGTTTCTTCCTTAAGCAAAACTAACAATGGCAACTAGCATCAGCAGCAGCCTTCATGCCTCGGCTTCATCCTCCTCGAAGCTTCTTGCTTCAAGAAAGTTCTTCAGCTCTTCATTATTTCATGGTTTTCAAAGGCACCACAGAAACAGATTCATTCCATCCTTCCCTTCTTCGCGTGCCTCCTCTAGTATGCTCTTTTTTTTTTTTTCTTTTCTTCCACTCGTTTTTTTATCTTATTCCTTTGCAACGGTTCTATTTTCGCTGAGATTTAGTCATTTGTCACTATCTCTAACTTGAAATTTCTGATCTTTTTGTTTTTGCAGAACCTTATTCTTGCTTGTCTATAAAATGTGCTGTTCGTTTTCGACCCTGCATTGATATACACAAGGTATTTGATTCAATCCATTTTAATTCTCCTAGTGGTTCTAACAGTCGATTTATCTAATATTGCGTTTTGTTTTCTTTCTTTTTTTGTTTAATCCTGTAAAAATTTAGCAAGTTTAATGCTTGAGCAAATTGTTTTGAAGTTTGTAAACTGTAACAGATAATTTTATGAGTGAGAGGGTGATGCAATTACTATTTTTGGTACCCTTTTTGAGTTTATATATCAATTGCTAAGTTCGTGATTTGGTTGTTCATGCTTTCACTCAGAGTCAAGTAGTCACATTTTTGCAAAATTAAGTTTTTATTGGCTAATCTGTTATTGAATTGATTTTGGGATGGGGTTCTTAATTTCAAATGCCGATCCTGCTTTATGTTAGGTTGTACATGAGTGGAAATGGGTTTACGTTTGTGTTTAAATTATGATTTGTTTTTTTCAGGGGAAAGTGAAACAAATTGTTGGGTCTACCCTTCGAGATTCGAAGGAGGAAGATGGTTCAGTTCTTGTAACAAATTTTGAGTCGGATAAGTCGGCAGCGGAGTTTGCAAATTTGTACAAAGAAAGTGGGCTCATGGGTGGTCATGTGATCATGCTTGGAGCTGATGATTTGAGCAAAGCTGCAGCCATTGAAGCCTTGCATGCATATCCTGGTAGGTCTACGTTTTCTGTATCTGGTGGATTGGATTTGTTTTCTATCGTTTGAGATGTTAGTTTTTGCCATTTTTGTGGTTCTTTGAGAAAACGATTCCAACAAATACAAATTTGCCTATCCAACAAATAATTCATTTAGGTTAATGGTAGGCTATGGTTTGTGTAATTTCTCTGCTTAATGATACAACCTTATATTGATCAACGATGATTTTATTTGGACTATTCTGTTATTTACTTGTATATTTGTTGAGTGAGGGAAAAAAAACTTTGTTTTGCAGAAGATATTCTGTATCTATTGGCATAATTGGGGTAATTTGCAAATAAGATGCTGTTTTATATGTAACATGTTGGGGTGCTAATTTCCTCCATAAATAAATAAATCGTGTTATGGTTTATACTGAGATTTTCAAATGCGGTCAACTGTATAGTAAATGTGCTCTTTTACTTCTTTATGGTTGATGGGATGTTTAAAACTTACAGATTTTTCCTCTGCTGAACTTACTGCGAGGATCCAAAAAATCTAGGCGGCTTGCAAGTTGGAGGTGGTATCAATGTAAACAACGCTTTGAGTTACATAGAGGAAGGAGCCAGCCATGTTATCATTACTTCAGTATGTTATGAACTTGGGGTGCTCTCTTTTTACATTTTATTGTAACAAGTTATGCATTCTTTTTTTCAAAAAAGTTTGCTCTGATAGTTTTAAAGAGATTTCAGTTCCTTTGTTTGCGATGAATTATTCTCTCTGGCATGTTTATAGTTACTGCTACTAGGTTGCATGTATTTATAGTTGATACAGGGTGAGAAGAGGAAAATAGTATAATACAGCAATCACAGAAGACTAATGGCTAAAATATGAATAAAATTGAAGCTGGAACAATATAGTGAGGTTTAGGGTTCACCAAGAACCCTCTAGAATCTGAATAGATAAAAAACGAAGGATGTTTATTAAAATAAACCCAGCAACCTTTTTATACTAGTTAAAGCCCAAGTGTTAGTCACCACGTAAAACAACTTAACCTCCACGGAAATACTCTAAAAGGTCAAATGCTAATCGCAGGACACTTAATTAAATAACCTTAATATCAGAAATAAAATCGCAGTATAAACTGTAACATGAAGTTCAAGTGATAGTGCTCTATGTTTGTTAATATATGCTCCTAGGAGTATGAAGTCCATGTGATAGTGTAAATATTTTGAGTCTGGTGTTTAATATGCTTGGAACAGAGTCATAAAAGGTCAAATGCTAGTGTAAATATTTTGAGTCTAAAAGGTCAAATGCTAATCGCAGGACACTTAATTAAATAACCTTAATATCAGAAATAAAATCGCAGTATAAACTGTGACATGAAGTTCAAGTGATAGTGCTCTATGTTTGTTAATATATGCTCCTAGGAGTTTGAAGTCCATGTGATATTGTAAATATTCTGAGTCTGGTGTTTAGTATACTTGGAACAGGGTCATGTTGAGTACCCTGTAGAAAGTATCCCTGGAAGACCTTTTATTTGCATTTATCATCCTTTCGTTAATTTTTGGTGATTACAATTTTCTTTAAATAGCTTGTTTGTGTTTCTCTCCCAGTATGTCTTTAACAATGGTCAAATGGACCTGGAAAGGCTGAAAGCCCTTGTTCGTGTGGTTGGAAAGCAGAAGCTTGTTTTAGACCTTAGCTGCAGAAAGAAGGTAAGAAATGAATAATCACACATCCCTCTGTCATTTTAGGCACTGAGTACTACTTAGGGTTATATCCAATTCGCACTGGGGATTGAGTCTGAACTGCTGATATTTTCTACAAATTAATTTTTAATTACCTGCTGGTATTTCAAGTTTTACATGGTAACATATTAGAGTACTAATGGCATGTCTCATGTATTGTAGCCAAAACAAATCATCTTTGAAGACATGTAGTGTCATCTCCTTTCACAAATTAAAAGTTACTTTATTTTCAAGCTTCTACCTTTTATGACCTTGTATGTGCTGTTTCTGATGTGCAGGAAGGTAGATATGCAATTGTCACTGATAGATGGCAGAAGTTCAGCGATGTATATCTTGATGAGGAAGTATTAGAATTTCTTGGAAACTATGCTGATGAGTTTTTGGTTCATGGTGTTGACGTTGAAGGCAAAAAGTAAGTTCTGAATGTTGCCTCATTGCCCTGAGATTTCTAGGTTCTTTTCTCCTGTCGGTTTTACCATCTAGTTTTCTTAGATTTATAACGGTGGCAGATAAATGATCATGACCCAATTTAGGAGAAATTTACCTTTCATCAACCTTATCTTTTCTTCTCCCAAAACAACCTGTCACTACATGCTTTCTGCTGCTTTTTCCATTTTGAGTAATATGATTATTCCATTAGATATCTCTGAATTCTGTGCTATGTCGGACTGGTCTCTTGTTGGTCTGCTGTTTCTATTCTGCCTCTACTTTTATTTAACAACCTCTGGTTTTATTAAACAAAAAGGATCCCACCTTATGTTGGTGATGAATTCATGATTATGGCAATACATCACACTACATATCATACAACTTTTTGGAGTTGAAATAATCAGTAAAACCTGGAGTAGATATAATGTGTTCATGATGCAGGAAAGAATGTGTTTAATCAGTTACCATAACCTACAATTGCAATGCTTTTAATGGGGAATCTAAAACCTCTTCTTGTGAATTTTCTTCTATTCTCTGGGACATTTTCTTTTTCACTGAAGAATTAAACCATGTTAGAACAGTGACACCATTCTGCTCTCTAATTTAACATGATAGGATATTCTATCCAAGATTTCCTTTTTCTAAAAAAAAAAGTGATAATCCTGTAAAACTCCTTTTCATTATATTTACACCGCATTCACCAAACAACTATCTATTGCAGGTTGGGAATTGACGAAGAGCTTGTGGCATTGCTTGGCAGGCACTCATCAGTAAGTGACATAGGAGTATCGTTTTGCATACTGTGACTTTGTTTTTCTCTTGCTTGTCTCTCAGTTACCGTGCAATGCTCTCTTTTCATTACTGATATTCTGTTATGAAATGCCTAAGCCCCAATGTCTTTGATATGACATGGTGTATCCACTTCATGCCAAAAACTGTTGCTAGTTTTGCTCTAATTGATTATATAGTTATTAATAGTCGATTTTTTTTGTTGAGATCACTGATGATAGTATCTGTGCGTTAACATGGTAGAAAGCAAAAGAAACCATCTAGTCCTAGTTTCAGGTCTTATATGGTTAGAAACCAAGAAACATTTTATGCGCACCTAAGTTAAAATTTCCATTATCCTGTATACCTGTTGGTGTGGAGGGGGAGTCTATGGAGCACTAGTGGTTGTAAACTGTTGGTTAGTAGTTTCTGATGGAACTGACTCTTCTAACTGTCTTTATGTACTGTTTTAATGTATGGATTGCTAATGGATTGCGGTTTGGGTGTCAGATTCCTGTGACTTATGCAGGCGGTGTGACAGTAATGAATGATTTGGAAAGAATAAAGGTGGCAGGGGACGGGTGTGTGGATGTGACCGTGGGCAGTGCTCTTGATATATTTGGAGGTAACTTACCATACAAAGATGTTGTCTCTTGGCATACACAGCAGGAGCCCTTGATGGTTTAGTTCCTTATTGTTGTGTTTGTTTGATCCCACACTGAAAAGTTCCAAGTTTCATTTAGTTTTTGAAGTTTCTTAGATCTTTATAGACGATGCATGTAGACCGTCGAGGATTCCTAGTTGTTTCTTATTTCATCCTGCATTTTATTTTGGCAACCTCGTATGATTCGAGTTTAAGATTACTTTCAAAGTTGAGACTTGCATCTGCGGGCTTGGCCCTCACGAAATTGCTTGTGACTCGCATTCTTTAAGGGATCAAAGTATGTTGAATGCTGTCTTGCATGTTGAATCAAAGAAAAATTGCAAAAAAAAAAAAAAAAGGGTTCTCCATAGAACCAGTTGAAGATACAGAGGAGCCCTTGTCCAAGGCACAGACTTACTGATTTGAATTAGTTTTAAATAACGGCCTACGTTATATAATGGCCGTTATGTAACGGTTCGGAGCATTCTATTATTGTTATTTTAGTATTATAGTAAGTCATGATCGGCGATAGCGACCGTAATCGTTTTTTCAACCGTTCATGATTTAAAACTATGAACTTTTGATACACCAGTGAAGCAACACTCCAACTTTATGCCTCACGAAAGGCAGGCAATTTGAATCGATTAGAGCGTGAAGCTAATGTTTGGTGAAAATAATAAAATATGTGTATCTTTACACAAACAATGCAAAATCATGGATGGTGATGGTAACCTTGCTAATTTTGTCTTCTAACAATGTATTTAGCTAAATGGTACAATGGGGCAGCCTTAGCAGAATCAAAGCTAGCAAGCTCTTCGTTTGCTTGGTACACTAACTTAGCAGCAAATTTCTTGGCCTCCTCGATGCCCATCAACTTGGGATATGTAGCCTTATCACTTGCCAGATCTTTGCCGGCTGTCTTTCCTAGCTCCTCCGAGGACTTGGTTACATCTAATATATCATCCACCACTTGATACAATAACCCAATAGACCTAGCGTATTTTCTGAGTCTCTCAATACCTGCAACATCTGCGCCTCCCACTATTGCCCCACAAACAGCAGATGCCTCTACAAGCTTTGCTGTTTTATGGACATGAATGTACTCCAATGTCTTCAAGCTTACTTCTTTTCCTTCACTGTCAATGTCCACAACCTGGCCTGCTACTACACCTCGTGACCCAATAGCTGAACCAAGCTCAGCAATGGCTCGTACCACTCTGTCCGGCGAAACATTCTTGGTCTTGCTAGCTATGTGCTCGAAGGCAAGCGATAGGAGTGCATCACCTGCAAGAACTGCAATACATTCACCGAATACTTTATGGTTTGTGGGCTTGCCTCGTCTAAGATCATCATCGTCCATACAAGGGAGATCATCATGGATTAGTGACATGGCATGAACCATCTCTAGAGCACATGCCAGTGGCATTGCTAGTTCTTCATCTCCTCCTACTAACTCACATGAAGCAATGCATAAAATTGGGCACATTCGCTTTCCATTACCAAGGAGAGAATATCTCATTGCTTCATGGATTTTAATGGGGTGTTGCAAGGGTACTGCCACTTCTAGTGCTCTGTCACTCTCTTTACCTTGGTGGACATGAATTCTTTTAAATTAAATGTAAGTGAAGAGACTCCTTGGCCTTGATTTGGTTGCTTCTGAGTTGAGTTTGCAACATGGGCTTCCATGGTGGAAAGATAGAGGTGGCCTAGTGGGATTTTTGGTGGGTTTCTGAGAAAAACTGAATTGTTAAAGCTGCGGATGATTGCAGAGACGGCCATGATTCATTGAGATGGGATCTTGATAGACGAGACTTGTTCAAGAAACATAATAGAAAAATATTTTTTTGATGACTAGCTTTAGCTTGTTTGTATGTTTGGTCCCTATTGTTCAATGATCAAGTCATTTTGACCTTGTGGTTTAATAAAAGACAGATAGGTACTTGAGAATATGAGATTTTGGTTTTTGGTTGGTAACTAAGAATTCCTAAGACAGTACTATCTTATTTGCTTTAGTAATTGCGATGTAAAAGATCACTATTCAGTATTATTTTAAAATGATTTTGTCTAACTTTTTCAATGTAATTACAATTCCTTTCTTAGTTTTTAGTATTATTATACCACAAATATAATAATGTATTTTTCTGATTTATATCATCAATTAAATTACAATCTTTTATGAATAAGAAAACGAAGTATTGTTTTTGTGCTAATTTGTTTTTACATTTATATCACACCTTTCATTATTATTATTATTATTATTATATATACATAAACCAAATTTAAAAGAAAAAGCTTTTAAAATCAAACTTTCTTTGCGTGAGAAAATAAGATTTCTCGTGCAATGAATAAACTAAAATTTAAATTTTAGAAGAGCATAATATTCAAGCATGTGTAATAATTTTCTTAATTTTGATAATTATATAAAAAAATTAAATTAAATTCGGCAAGAAATGTACACAAATTAGTGTGTAAATTATAATATATATATAGGAACAAACATGAAGTTTAATTGTTGCAGTAGAAAAAGTAATGATATAATTATAAGCAAATGAGAATATAAAATTATTTTCTAAAAAGTTAAAATTACTTTTCTTAGTTAGTCACTTTTAAAAACGTACCAAAATATTATATTATTATTATTTTAAAACATACCAATAAAGATCTTTCTTACTTATATTAGAAATTAACTTTCATGTGCATCAAGCTTTGCTGCGTAAATTGCAAATTAGTCCTTTTTATTTTGAGAAACAAATTAATTAGTTTCTTTCGTTTTAAAAATTAATTATTTATTTTTTATATTTTTAAATCTACTTGTAGGTTAGTTCTTTTTGTTATTTTTTTAATTTATTTTGATTTTTTGTTTCAAGAAATAGAAAAAAATATATAAAGATTGATGGAAAAAGAATACATTTGATATAATAAAAATAATATTAAATTAACTATGAATAACACTGGTCAAAAATTTAAATAATAATTTTTAAACCAAGGAGAACCAATTAATTTGTTTCTTAAAACTACAGGGACTAATTTATAATTTACTCAGCTTTGCTCTATGAATTCAACATGTACAAAAAAAAGGGTGCAAGAGCAAAGACGGCATTTTACTACTGTTCCATGGCTAATTTTTTTTTATGACCTTCAAGATTTGCTTGTAGATCTCAAACGGTTTTTTAACAGGTTCCACCATTTATCCTTTGCTGTGACCGTTCTAATGCTGCTGCAAGAAGTGTTTCGGCATCTTTTACCAAGAAGAAGCAGACGAACTAGGGAACATCAACTTGTCCTTTTTTTTTTTTTTTTTGTAAATTATTATTCTATATAACTAAAAGAACTAAGGTTTTTGTTATTATTTATTTACTGTAACTCTAGACTCATTTATACTGGGAACTATCTTTTTGTGATTTTTTAAATTTTGTTGAGTGATGATATGAAAATTATGTAACTTTTTACGTTTTGATTCTTGATATTTTCGAACAAATGTTTTGATTTACGTCTTCATTTACTAATACATTTTGATCCTTGGTGTAGAGAAAAGGGAGTGAAGAAGAGAGAGACCGAAGGAGAGAGAAATCGCCGATCAAGGTTATTTAGGCCGCTTTGACTAGCGAAAATTCATTAGATTTTTTTATTTTTGAGATAAGAGTTTGTCTATGGTACTTTCAAGCTATTGAATAATTAAAAGAGGTAGATCAAAGCCAAAAAAGAAAAAAAAGTTTCGATTTAATTATGTTTTTTTTTATACATTAAAATGATTTTTAAGGTTTTGAGTTGTTTATTGACTTTATTTCGGTCATTTAAAGGTGAGGAAAAAAATAATGTCGAAATTGAATTTCTAAATGTCCGAAACCCGACTCTTGATTTTTCGACGAAACTTCCAATGACCTTGAATTCATCGGAAGTTGTTGATTTTTCTTCTTTTTTTCGGCTAGCGACCCAAGCCTAGAGAACGAGCCCAAGTTGCCTCGGCTCACAGTGCCTAAGCAGCCTCGGCTTGGCGCTTAGGCCTACACACGTGGGCCTAAGCTTGTCGGGGGCTAAACCGGCCTTGCACGTGGGCTCGCGCAAGCAGCCCAAGCTCAAAAGCTCGGCTTTTTTTTTTTCAATAAAATTTTTTTTATATTTTTTATCATAGAATTAGGTGTGAAAAATATAGAAAATAGATCTTTATTCTTTTTAGTTTTATGTATAGTTTGACGGCGATAGTATGTATATGATATATATATATATATATATATATGTTTTTTGAACATATATATCCAATTATATTACTCTTCTTGCTTAAAATTTATTTTTTTAATTGTTTGTTTCTTATTAAAATTCTCATCAAATTAGTTTTTTAATTTTTTGATATAATTTTATTTGCTAATAAATTTAGTTTTTTTATATATGGATTTTGAAATAAAATTTTAGAACGTCGGTGTTTTATTTTTTAAAATATATTATTATAATTTATATATTGTATTATTTTTATGATTTTTAAATGAGAATAGCTTAGTTACACACACACACATATATATATATATAATTAGAATTTATCAAAACCAATTTTGTGGTAGTTTTGGGAGAGAGAAAGAAAGCTAAAAATGTGTTTAAGATAATTTGTCTAATTTTGTTTTTAAAAAAATTAATAATTAGTTAAAATAAAGCTCACGGGTTTTATTTGTTTTTTTATATATATGATTAGGAGTTATCATAACCAATTTTGTAATAGTTTTTACTTTAATCTATTCACTTCGATATATTTCATATAATTTATTTGGGTATAAATACATGAATCATTAGTTTTGTTGTAAATTAATCTATTCACTTCAATATATTCCATATGAGTTAGGTGGGTATATATATACATGAATCATTACTTTTGTTAGAAATTAATTATTTATCTACACACATAACGTCAATTATTGATTTTTATTTTTTTCATGTTCTAAATATGTATTTTTAAATAAAAAATTTAAATAATTTTTTGAAAGAACCTTTCAATTATTCAAATACAAATTTTTATGCTAATATTATTAATTATTTTGTTAGTAAATATATATAAATCAAATAATTTCACTCAATATATACATTCGATTTACATTAATCACCGAAACAAGATTTCTACTTACACCCCACCATACGAATCGTTAACTTTACGTATGTAATGATTGTCCGACTATAGCGTTGCGTAGGTATCTAACTAGTGAAAGACACTAAAAGAGGTGGGGGTTTGAATAGTGAAAATCACTCGTTCATCCCCTCACAAATCATTATTCGTGCATTATGACATTTTTGTAGTTTTTCAGCTATTTTTGGACATTTATATTCGAAGTTTACATAATTTTTTATTTTAGTCCTTAAATTTTTAAAATAAAAAAATTGGTCCTTAGGTCTGTTTGGTCTTTTAGCCTCGCTACATTGGGCTCGTAGTAGGATCAAGATAGCCAAGCAAGCCTACCTACTCTTTTATTTTTCCAATAATTTATGTTTTTTTATTATTATTATTGAATTAGGTGTGAAAATTATGAAAAATGCTATTTTTATTCTCTCTCTCTCTTTTTTTTCCACCAATTTATGTTTTTTTTTAGTTATTGAATTAGATGTGAAGATTATGAAAAACAAATTATTATTTTTTTCACACAAGTCGACGTTTATGAAATATATATAATATGTTTCTAAATTTTAAAATAAATATACACATCGGATTATATTATTCTTATTGTTTAAAACTGATCTCTTTAATTTGTCATTTCTTATAAAAATTCTCATCATATTAATTTTTTATTCTTTTTCATGTAATTTAATTTGTTAAAATTTATGATTTATTTTCTCTTAAATTTATGATTTATTTTTCTCTTATGTATGTATTTTTGAATAAATTTTTTTTAGTTGTTTTTATTTGTTTATTTTTTCTATATTCAAATTTTAAAAATAGAATCCATATGTTTTATTTACTTATTCTTCATATAATCAAAAATTTTCTTAATTAATTTTTTTATTGCATCCTATTAACCTCAATATATTTTTTTATAACTTAAATTTCTTTTTAAAAAATTAGTCCATGTCTGTACACTCTAACCCAATAAGTACGGTCATGAAGTATAAAAAAATATATATTGGAGTTATTGATTTTATTAAAAATTAATTATGCATTTACGCTCATAACACCAAGTAGTGCTATTATTTTTATATTTTAAATTTTTTTTTAAATAAAATAATTGAAATAATGTTTAGAAGAACTCGCCTAATAATTAAAATATAATTTTTTTATCCTAATGTTATTCATTATTATTATTATTATTATTATTATTACATATAGGTTTTTTATTATTGAATTAGGTATGAAAATTATGAAAAATGCTATTTTTATTCTCTTTTTTTTTCCACCCATTTATGATTTTTTTTTCAATTACTCGAATTGGGTGTGAAGATTATGAAAAATAAATTATTATTTTTTCACACAACGAAACTAATATTCATCATCATTATTATATCAAATCTACATACTTTTTTTAAAAAATTATTCTCATTAGTATTAAAAAAGAATTAAAAAATCATTTGTTAATTTTTATTCGGATTTTTATGTTAATTTATTTATTCGATATAATATTATGAAAAAAATATTAAAAAAATTAAAAAATATATTTTTTAATTTTATAGTTAGATTATTATGGATTTTTTAAAAAATAAATCGTGTTTTTTTAACTATAAAAATTATTAAAAAATAAAAAAAAGATATAAAATTTTGATTAAAAATTATAAAATTAGATGAAAATTTATTTTTAATTTAATATATTTTTATAGATCTATAGTATAATAAATATTATCAAATAAAATTAAATATATTTAACTCGACTCATAACATAATTACAGACGAGAAGCCAACTAGTGTAACGTGTCTTTTCTGGTGACTTAAGGAATAGAAATCTAAGGAACCGGTGGTAACCCATCCGGCCATGGTCATGAGCAACTTGTCCGGTTGTTCACGGATTGGCATTAAACATTTGGTCATCTGACAGAGGTGTCAAACATCCAGTAATCTAACAATGATGACGTTGCTTTAATTTGGATTTCCTCAGAGTCAATGAAGAAAGTAAACAGAGAATATTAAGGTCCCATTTGGTAGAATGATAAAGAATATAATCATAGAATTCGTGTATCATAAGGTAACAAATGAATTTTCCAGTAATATCACTTTCCATTAAGTTACTTTCATCATTCAGAAAAAGAAAAACAAAAAAAAGTTGCTTCCATCATTATGTTTTTTATTTATATATAAAAAGAAGTTGCTCTGGTCGCTATCATGAAAAAAAAAAAAAACCTATTTACAAACGTATATTAAAAGATAGTAATTTCATTGATGATATTAATCAGACACGGTAATACCAAAAATTAAAAAACAAATTGCAACTTATTACATTGAAAAAATTAGACAAAAACCTTTTATAATAATAATGAATAATAATTTTTCAGATAGTAAATAGTCAAATATAAAAAAATGACCTTAATATTACAATAAATTAACGAAGAAACAAACCGCATCATCATATTATATTGACGAAAAATTTCAATCATCTAAAACTATTAAAAAGCGATAATTTTTTCAATTAACAAGAAACCTCAATCACAACTTAGTAAATAGACATCAAAACTTTATTACAAGAACATAAAATAGAAACTTTATTACACAAACAGCAGCTCTTTTTTTCTTCCCTTTTTTCCCTACAAGAGAAATGATAGAGAAATTGCTTGGGTTTAAGCACAATCTTATTATATTCTTAAACAAACAAACGAAGGGGAATCATGGATATCTTCGCTTTAATTCTGTCGACTAGCAATATAATGAGTCAAATGACACAATGGGGCAGCTTTAACACGATCGAAGAAGAACGCAAGTTCTTGATTGAATATACTGACAAAATATTTTAAATGGGTATTAAATAGAGACTGAATAGGCCGATATACTAGGTTTTAACTGGACAGAAATGAGATAAAAATTTATATAATAATTTCTTAATGAATGATAAATAAAATATTCTTTTAAAAAATAAAATAAAAAATTAAATTAATGGATTGAATATATCTACCTATTGTCATCACTATACCAACCTCACGTTCATTATATCTTTAGACAAAACTAATGTGTCTTTCCTAATGACTTAAAAGGAAAATATAAGGCACCGGTGGTAAACATCCGGCTATGGTCATGAACAATGATTGGACTTGGCAAGTTTCGATCTAGTTGTTCACAGAATGGCATTACATTAATATTTTTTGCTACGTGAAAGATATTCATTTTTGTAGAAATTTTACTGCATGTCAAAATTTTTAAAGTAAAAATATTTGCATTAATATGTTATTTTTCTATAATTATTTTAAACTTTATGGATAATTAATTTAATGATCTTTCTTTTTATTTATACCTTAATTTTAGATAAATTTTTTCTTAAATTAATAATAATTACATGTAATTTAGGATTAAATTTGATTAAAAAAAGTATTTTATGAAAGTAGTAACAAAAAATATCGGTATCGCATAATAATTAATAAAAATTTTAAATAGTGTGAAAAATAATAATTTAAAAAAAGATCTTATTGTATTCTTAAACAAACAAAAAAGGCGAAATCATGGATCATATCTATAACTGGTAAGGACATTAATTTTGTCGATTAGCAATATAATGAGTCAAATGATACAATGGGGCAGCTTTAACACGATCGAAGAACGCAATTTCTTGATTGGCTTGATCAACCAATCGGGCAGCAAATTTCTTGGCCTCATCTATGCCCATCAACTTGGGGTAGGTAGCCTTGTCACTGGCCAAATCCTTTCCGGCCGTCTTTCCTAGCTCCTCCGATGACTTGGTCACATCCAATATATCATCCACCACCTGAAACAACAACCCAATAGACCTAGCATATGTTCTAAGTCTTTCAACGCTTGTATCATCAGCCCCTCCCATTATTGCCCCACAAACAACTGCTGCCTCTAAAAGCTTTGCGGTTTTATGGACATGAATATACTGCAATTTGCTCAAACTCACTTCTCTGCCTTCGCTTTCGATGTCCACGATCTGACCTGCCACAAGACCTTTGGCTCCAACAGTTGAACCGAGCTCAGATATGGCTTGGACCACGCGATCCGGCGAAACATTCCTGGTGTTCCTAGCTACGTGCTCAAAGGCAAGGGATAGGAGTGCATCACCAGCAAGAACTGCAGTATCTTCACCAAAAATTTTATGACTCGTGGGCTTACCTCGTCGGAGATCATCATTGTCCATACAAGGAAGATCATCATGGATTAATGACATGGTGTGAATCATCTCTACTGCACAAGCCGCTGGCATTGCTAGTTCTTCATCTCCTCCCACTAATTCACATGAGGCAATGCATAAAACTGGACGCACACGCTTTCCACCAGCAAGGAGAGAATATCTCATGGCTTCATGGATTTTGTGAGGATGTTGCAAAGGTACTGCCTTGTCTAGGGCTTTGTTCACTTGATTTGCCTTCTCGATCATGTACTCGTTAAATTCGAATGCTGGAAAGGGGGCCTTTTGTGACTTATCGGTCACTTCTTGGGATTGAAATGATTGTTTTAAAGATGGGTTTGCAACATAGGTGGCTTGAATTTTCATGGGCAAAAATTTGATGTGGCCTAGTGGGATTCTAGGCTGGATGTTTCGACCATTGATGGATTTTTTTAGAAGAAGTGAATTGTCATAGATAGAGATGGTTGTAGAGAAGGCCATGAGTGAAATGCGAATTTGGGAGAAGGTCAGAAGGACTATTGATGAGATTAAGCTTTTTAAGAGGATTCTTACGAACACATATATAGTATGTGGTAAATGATGATAGGAAAAGATGCTGAATTGGTTCCTCAGAAGATGGTTTATAAGTTATGATGATTCCATTTTATATGGTTTTGGACCCTTCTGTGACTCTTGGCTCTATTCGCTTGGTCCTAGGGGCATCAAAAGTTTGGTTTTCATTCATGGTACTGAGACGGTGTTTGTTTCGAAAAAAAGAAGTTTTAGGAACTTTGTTTTTATTTTTTAATATTTGTTTCGTATTTAGAACAAAAAAATCATTGAAACTTGATAGGTTATTTTTAAAAATGCGTTTTCTCAGTTAAAAAATAAGAATTTTTTTTCTCTCTCTCATGAACTGTCTCACTCTCATGTTACTCACCTCTCTCTCCATACATTTTAACAATTTTTTTCTTTGTCTTCTTTTTATCTAAAATATATTAAATTATTTTTTAATTATTTTTTTATCAATTATTTAATTATTTTTTCTCTATTTCTACTAGTATTTGATTTTTCGATTTATAAATACATTAAATATTCTTAAAAACCATTTTTACATCTTAAAATTATTTTTATGATAAATATTTCAATAACTTATCTCTATTTTTTTTATCATTATCCCAAACACCATCAAAACTATACTTAAATGATTAGAAACGATTATTACACAATCATTTGTGAAAAATTTGAAACTAATTAATTCATTAATAAATGCATTATTTTTCTAACACTATTCATTTGCAACTAAATCAATAATTTGTAACTAATTTTAATCAGTTGTAAAATTTTATTGGTAATTGTAGTCAATAATTTGTGACAAATTATTCCAACATTAATCTTTTGAAACCAACAGAATAATTATCTACAAATGATAATTAATAATTTGTAAAACTATTTTTTAGACTAAATTATAGTTCAATTTCCAAAAAAAAAAAAAATCTTAATAGAGTCACCAAAATAACAATGCTAGGATTACTTAGAAACTTTTTTACTAAATGTGAATATTGACTTGGTTTTGTCCAAGTAGTTTTGATGAATTGGTTTGATGATTAAAAATGGATATTTTATTTTTTGAATTTAAATTTTAGAGTTGGTATTTATAAAAATTTATTAAATTTTTTTAAATGAATCTTATATTATGAGATTATGAATATGCCTTATTGAAGTTCCTTCAAAACCCATTGATTTAATAATCATAGCCTGTTTTTGTGTTTCAGTTTTCCGTATCAAACAAATGCTAGAATATATTTTTTAGCAGACTTTTTTTATGTAATTGCCAAATATCGAAATTTTTTTTTTTACTTCCTATAAAATAACTTTTGCAGACTTGCTTTTTTTATTGGAAGTTGTTTTTAGCCAAACAAACGGAGTCCGAGATTTAAAATTTTATGATAATCAATTAACAAGTTCGTTGGTCCAGATGATAAACGAGCTAGTTCCTAAGCGAATTTTCTGCTAATATGCGGGACTCAAATCTTTGAATCGAATTTGTTAGGAAGAGTTAAACGTTGTTGTTTTCATTTCGAATAAGATTAACTCTACCTTTAATATGAGATAGGAATACTCGAAAAATTTATGATAATGAAAACTTGATTAATGATTATGTGTTTATACTTTCTTACGCAAGTTGTAAGGGAAAAAAAATTCATTCAACGAAATGTATTAATTGAAATGTAAATAGTTTATTTATGATTTTCAAAAAAGATTTTGGTTTTAATACGAGTAAACTATTTCGAAAATTTCCATATTATTAAAATCCAAAAAAAGCATAAATAATTTGTTTCATTTATTTTAGAGGTTGGTCAAGGATATACCAGTCTCCATCATTCCTACGTTATCAACGCTTTGCTTTTCCTTTTTAAGAAATGCATTTATAGAGAGAAAGAAAGAAAATCAAGAAAGACTTGTCGTACGCGAAAAATTGCTAATTAAATGAGATATGTGCATTGCATAGTTGTTTTCATTTAGCATACATTCACTTAATTGCAACATTTGTTTTTTTTTAGAAATTGAACTGATAATTTAGTTTAAAAAATAATTTTATAAATTATCAATTATGTTATAAAATAATGAATGTCCATCTACTTTTCATATCCCCACTACTCATAATCCTTAATGTGATTCAATTCACCATTCAATATGAGAAATTGAAAGGGTGATGCAATTGATGTACTTTTAATTATTTATAGTCTCTTCCAATTCTCATCTCAATTTTGAGGCCTATAAATAGGCTTGATTGTTCATTTGTTGATGTACAAGTTTTTTAGAGAGAATAAGAGAAACTTTGAAGTTCTTATCACTTATATTCATATTATAGTGATTTCATTTTCTTGTCATCCTTTTCTTCAATTCTCCTATTATTTCTATTTGTTTTATAACATGTTATCGACACGAAGCTCTAACCAATTGAGACAATAGACCATGAGGTATGTATTTATCAAAAGATTTAATCAATTGTTTCAACAATTGGATTTCTTATACACAAATGATCTACCAAAAGATCTAAATTATTTAAATCATTAAGAGGTATGTATCTAATTTATTCATGTACTTTAAATCTATTGATACATGAAATATATATTTGAAAAACTTAAATGATCTAATATATGTTATTTGAAAAGCTTTAATTTTATTATGTTTGTTCTTATTTTCTAATATTATTATTATATATTGTATTATAGAATTTTTATCATATCAAACCCGATAAACTTGATTTGGTGACTCTTGATATTTTGAATAAGAATTATTGATTATGAGTGCTTGATTTTGAAAAAATACTCTCTACTTTTTATGTCTTAGATATGCTCCTGCAGTAGCATATCGAGAAAAAGAGTTTAAAAAATATTTTGGATCGATTTTATACTTGTTTGTGGCTAAATAAAATGAAAAAGAATAAATCTCATCCAATTAGATTTACTCCATTCCCCGAAGTGAATGTAACAATTTATAATAATTTTTGACATGGATGAAGATGTGATCATAGCTATGGATATGGTCGAAATAATTATGATTATAATCGTACCGACCATAATATTACATCTCACCACCAAAAGTGGATAACTATGAAGAAAAGAAATAAAAATAGATAAAGTCGGTATTCGAAAAATAAATATTATAAATGTGGAATGAATAAATATTGATCGTGTACTTGTCGTATACCAAAGCACCTTATTAAGGCTTGTTAAGCCTTATTAAAAATAAAGAGTCAAATATGAAGGTTATTTTTATATATCAAAGTAATAGTAGTTGAAATTAATTACTTGGTAGTTTTTCTATTTATAAATAAAATGTTTTATATTTCTTATAATTTATGTCATATATTGATGGTTACAAATTTATTTTATTGTTTATTTATTTGTTTGTGTTTATGAGGAATATATTGATTTATTTATTTTGTATTGATTTATTTGATTATTTATTTTATGTTAATATTATATATGATAATATCAATATAATAAAAAGCTCTAAAAGAGCGACTATATTATTATCTAAAGAGATAGATTTTGAAGGCTCTAGAAGAGCGATTATATCATGACTTGAAGAGATAAATTTTTAAAGACTCTAGAAGAGTTGATATATTATTACTTGAATTGACTAATTTAAAGGCTCCGGAAGAGCAAATATGTTATTGTCTAAAATGATAAATTTATGATGTACTATTCTCTTTAAAGTCTCATAGAAATTTATTGAGTTTCAAAGATATTCATCTGAATTGATATCATATCAAGATAGTAAATGTGAATACTTATATGTTATAATCATTATATCGGGTAGAAAATATCTATATAAAAAAATTTATTTGTTTTCTCTTCTAGTCTTTATTACAAACATTGAAATAATTGAAACAAATATTGTAGTAAACCGAAGTTTACTAATTCAAATACTTTTACTATGTGACATGACCAGTTGTGTTATCTTGGGTCTTTCATGATGTGAAAAATTATTAAAAAAAAATTATATAAATATTTATTGAAGAGCCGGAAGATTCTTCAATTTAATGAACTTTTATGTTCCGCATGTTACCAAGGCAAATTGATGATTAAGCCATCATCAAGTAAAATTTAGATTGAATCTCCGGTATTTTAGAATGTATTCAAGGTGATATATGTGGATCAATTCATCCACCATGTGGACCATTTAAATATTTTACGATTTTGATAAATGCATCCACAAGATGGTCATATATATGCTTATTATCTACTCGAAATCCGACGTTTTCGAGATTGCTAGCAAATAATTTGATTTCGAGCATAATTTTAAAATTATGCCATTAAAAGAAGTCACCTTGATAATGCTGATGAATTTATTTCTCAAGCATTAAATTATTATTGATTGGCTATTGAACATCCCGTTGCTCATGTTCATACTAAAAAAGGTTTAGCAAAATCATTTATCAAAAGGCTCCAATTGATAGCTAAACCATTATTTAAAAATAAAACTCCTTGTTTATGTTTGGGGACATGCAATCTTACATGCAGCAACACTTATTCGCATATGACCCATAAGTTATCGAAATTCTCTCCTCTTTAATTGATTTATGGTCATGAGCTAATTATTTCTTGTTTAATAATTTTTGGCATTGCAGTGTATATCCTTAGTGCTCCTCTATAATGAAATAAAATGAGCACTTAAAAGAGATTGAGAATATATGAATCCTCTTTGATAATTCAATCTCTTGATTCATGAACAAGAGAAAATTTTTACGACTCGATTTATTGATTCGTCATTTTGATGAAATAGTTTTTTCAACATTAGGGGAGAGAATAAGCAAAATAAGCGAGTTGAAAATGTTGAAAAAAAAGATTACATGGAGTACTCTATCTTATATCACCTTAATTATTGTAGAAGATAATGTGAACTAGAAGTTCAAAAGATAATTCATCTACAAAATATTGAAACCAACTACCGGATGCATTCTCGGATTTTAAATGAGTAACTAAAAT